CATATTGAAGCAGCATTTGTACACACTTCGAATGTTGAAAAAGTACACCCATCAAATCTCATATTCATGAATTCTATTCTATAATTATAGATTTGAGTAAGATTGATGTTAAGATCGATGATAAAGATTAAACTTTATTGTTATCGTGTTCTTTGCCATCTTTCTACAATTACTTTTTTAAGGATATTATAGTTTATAGTCGAGATTCTATTGGCATCAAGAACGTTATATCATAAATAACAAAATCTTACTGAAAACAGATTAGAAAGTTTATCACATTTCTCAGTCCACGAATCTCTTTTGAAGAGGGAAAAATATCTCCTATTGAACTCAACTTTGCGTCACCAAAGCTCAAAAAGACGACAACTTTGCAGCACCAAAGTGCAACAAAACTACCAAAACCCCTAAGCTATAATCATATTCCGAACAAAAAACAAAAATCAACAAATACCGTTAACAGAATCAAGAAAACTCTAAGCTATAATCATATTCCGAACAAAAAACAAAAATCAACAAATACCGTTAACAGAATCAAGAAAACTCAAAAAGAGGCGATTTTGAGATCTAGGGTTTGATCAAATACCATTCCTCGTGATGAGATATTGCTTATCAGCAGGCAAATAGGACTTCCTCTTGCTCGATTCCCCCGCCTCCCTACAAAAGTCAACAAATTAGAGAGAAAGAGAGAGAGAGAGAGAGAGAGAGAGAGAACCAAAGGTAGGGTTTTGAGAAAAGTGGGAGTAGTGCCAGGACCAAGTAGGACACTTGGAGATGAGATTGTCGACGGCGATGACGAACTCGGAGACGCTGAGTACGCCCTTCTCCTTGAAAGCGTAGAGCGTTCGAGGGCTCATGATCCTCTCCACCGTGCCCTTGATCTTTTCCTTGAAATCATGGCTTGACTGGAGAGGGAGGGCAGAGAGAGAGAGAGAAGAGAAATAGGGAGTTTTAAGAGGGAGAGGGAGGAGGAGGGGAGAGTTATTAGAGCAAGTCCAGCAAGCTCCCACTTAGGAGTCCTAGTCATCAAGCTCTCAAAAGCTCTCAAGCAATTTGGTATAAAAAATTATAAAAATAGGTCTTGGGAGCATCTCCTTATTTTATGGAGCTCCAACAAGCTCCTAGTTAGGAGCTCCAACAATATCAAAAAAACCCCTCTTCTATTTTAATATTTTACCCATTACTTTTAATTATATTTAAACCTCTTGTATTTTATTTCTAACCGTTGGATACGGTCTTCGAGGGAGCGCACACGGTCTTCGAGGCAACCCAGAACAAAATGTCTAGCTCATCTAGCTCAAGCGATGATGAAACGATGAAGACGTTCTTTTTTATGGGAGCTGCTGTCGTCGAGGAAGAAGAACAAGGGAAAGGTTCAACTTCAGTTCAACACAAAAGACGTACCGTGCTCCATCGATACCGACTGGAAGGCCACAATCGGTTGTTCCAAGATTATTTTGCTGACACACCAACATATCCTCTTCATTATTTTCGTCGAAGATTCAGAATGTCGCGTTCGTTATTCCTTCGAATCCACGACGCTGTCGTCGAACATGACAAGTACTTCGTCCAAAAGAGGAATGGTGCTGGACAGTTAGGACTATCTAGCCTTCAAAAGATTACTGCAGCTATGCAGATGCTCGCATATGGAGCATCCGCTGACGCCGTTGACGACTACGTTCGGATCGGTAAAAGTACGTCGCTTGAGAGCGTGAAGAGGTTCGTTCGATCGATTATCAACATCTTTGGGGAGGAATACCTTCGTTCACCGACTAATGAAGACGTTGCACGCCTGCTCGAGGAAGGCTCACAACGAGGTTTTCCTGGTATGCTTGGGAGCATCGACTGCATGCACTGGGTATGGAAGAACTGTCCAACCGCCTGGCAAGGTATGTATACTGGGCATTTTCATGAACCTACAATTATTTTGGAGGCCGTAGCTAGCAAAGATCTTTGGATATGGCATGCCTTCTTTGGACTGCCGGGGTCTCACAATGACCTCAATGTGCTACATCGTTCACCGGTTTTCGCACAACTTGCGGAGGGAAGAGCTTCACCATGCAACTATACTGTTAATGGCCACGAGTACAATATGGGATACTATCTCGCCGACGGGATTTACCCAGAGTGGTCCACATTAGTGAAGACTATTCCAGCACCGCGAGGAAACAAGCATAAATACTTTGCTCAACAACAAGAGAGCGCAAGAAAAGATGTTGAGCGAGCTTTTGGCGTGTTGCAAGCTCGATTTGCGATTGTTCGTGGACCAGGACGTTTCTGGCAACCTAGTGTGCTGAAAGACATCATGACAGCTTGCATCATAATGCATAACATGATCGTTGAAGATGAACGAGATTGTCAATTGGACAACAACTTCGACTTTAATGATTCGATACCAGTCGTTGAACCTTCTCATGTGCAGACGGTGCCTCTAACTGAGTTCATCCAAAATCATCATCGGATCAGGAACACGCAAACACACAAATCACTAAAGAATGATTTGATCGAGCATCTGTGGCAGCTCAAGGGAACCATCGACGAGGATTAAGTTTCTTTATGTCTAATGTAATTTCAGCAAAGAAGTTCGAGTTTTTGTGCTACACCAATTTTCTTTTCAATGAAGTAGTTGTTTTCATTAAATGCCAAATTTTTCAACTTCAAGTAGAATCATAAATCTAATACAAGATAATTAGGAAGAACTAATTAGGATGCGATGCGAGTACAATCATAAATCTAATACAAGATAATATATGATAATTAGGAAGAACCCTTAGACATCCACCTCTCCAATATCTCTGCCTGACGCATTTCAAAGTATTGTCGTTGAACTGAATTGAGTGTTGAGAGATCCATCTTCATGATATCGTCATCTTGTTTCTTCGGGTATAAGGTCGATCCTTCACCGGCAAGGAGGTGCGAATAATAGTTTTGTGAGGGATCCATGAGATTTGTAATTTGATAGGGATGATTTGTGAGAGAGTTGAGTGGGATGATTTGTGAATTGAATTGGGATGAATTTATAGATGAATTTTTACAACAGTAAATTTTCCAACAGCCTGATTTTTTAACGGCTATATTTTCACAACGTCAAATTTTCCAACGGCTGCATTTTCACAACATTCGGATTTTTATCAACTCACAATTTCAACGAAAATTTCACAACTCAAAGTTTTCACCTCAACAACAGACCCAACCCCAATTCGTAGACATTAAAAAAATTGAACTTCATCTTTCTCCCTTCGACAACAACAGACCCAACCCCAATTCGTAGACATTAAAAAAATGAACTTCATCTTTCTCCCTTCGACAACAGACCCAACCCCAATTCGTCGACATCATCTCCGCCATCTCCGCCATCATCTCCGCCATCATCCATCATCTAAGCCATCATCACCGCCATCAGTCTCCGATCCCAACCGCGGCCTTCGTCGACATCATCTCCGCCATCTCCGCCATCATCTCCGCCATCATCCATCATCTCCGCCATCATCTCCGATTTCTGGATTTGGAGGGGTTTTTTTGTAAATTGAAACCCAGTTGGGAGCTCCCAAGCGCTCCACAAATTTGTGGAGCGCTTGGGAGCTCCGAAGCTCTCCACCGCCACGTCGGATCTTGGGAGCGGGCTGGGAGCGATTCGGAGCCTGCTGGAGGGGGTGAAGCAGGAGACCTTGGCCACGTCGGATCTTGGGAGCGGGCTTGGGAGCTTGCTGCCCATGCTCTTAGGGAGTTACAGGAAGTGGGAGTGGGTTACTGGAAACGTGGGGTTATTAGAGGACGGGAGTTTCACAGAAATAAGGTTTTAAATACGCGGATAATGAGAAAAGTTACTGTTCATTTTAGCTTTTTTGTTGTTCTCTTCTAGTAATAAAGAAGTAGATAGAATAGTGTTTTTGGCTATGTTTAGGGCGGAGAACCACTTGGTAGACTGGAAGTAATAACTACAAGAGCTTAATGGGTTAAAAATATTAGGTTAACGGCTTCTTTAAAATGTCAGGTAAACGATAGGGGCTGAACTGACTTTGAATTCACCATTATACATACTTCTTCCATAGTTATTTCCTTGTTAATTAGTAGCGAGCTTGAGGGTTTCGGATTTTTTGAAGAGAGGTTTGGCCGTTCGGGGATTCTAGTTGCATATTGCAGGTAGTCTAGAAGAATATTTTTAATTCTTGAAGGAATCATTACTTCTTTTGATGCACGGGATAGTCTTTTTCTAAAATCTATTTTGACGCATATGCTTTTGATATCTTTGAACCTTGGGGATTGATTTCAATATCTGCAATTTATTGTATATATGAAATTAACTTTAAAAAAAACGATAAGCAGATGTTTTGATGTTGCGCAATATTCCGTTAATGAGAAATGTAAGTGTCTCATATTACAGCTCATTAGTATTTTTTGAAGTGCTGATACAAGTTTTCGTTTACTTTCTTAAAGCAGGACCACATAATAAGATGGCACTGAAGCCAGAAGCTTGGTCACCATAACATTGATTTTAAAGCCAAGTAGAATTCTTGGCAGTAAACGTTGCCTATCAAAAAGAATTAAGCTCCTCTTGTTGTGGTGATCAGCGAAGGACAAACAGCCGTGATTCGTCCAATGTTGTTGCATATCAAAGGATTACCCCAGTCAATTGAACGCTGAATTTGGGAATTTGTGTAAATTTCAGAATTTGATCCATGAAGCAGGCAAGGAAGATGATAAATGATGTACGGAATATGCAAGAGAATTATTGATCTTTTTTTTTTAATAAGAACCATGACACTGTGACCTTAAAGAGTTCTTTTCGTTCTATACGTTTATCATTAATCCATTGATTTGGTTCATCCATAAAACAAGGGGGGTTGTGAGTTAGTAGTTACCACCTTTTATTTCAACAGATTAATGCTCAAAATTTGACAATCAATCATAAAACAATTACGAGAAAATCGACCACCGAATCGAAATACCATTCCATCTTAGTATTTATCCAAAAAACAGAATCAACTGTCAAGAATTCTAAGTTGACAAAAACACAAGTAAATGTTTTAAAATGTCAATTGCTTGATACCTAAACATGCTCATTTTGCAGCAGAAGGCTACGATCTTCATTCAAAACCCAAAAGCAGGGTACAAAACTACAAATACTCACACTTCCAAGGATTTAAGACATCATTTTTCACAAGAACAATAATACACCCCCTACGAATAACCCCTCACAATAATCCTATATACGTGCACGTGACGCTAGTACAACTAGTACAACAACTACATCCTTGATCTTACTTGTCCCATAAACGGGTAATCTGTATATCCCTTCACCGGATCCTGCGTGTAAAATGTAGCCCGTACATACTTATTCAAACCCGCCTCCGCTTTAAACCTCTGAACCAGATCCGGGTTTGAAATAAACAAACGCCCGTAACTAACAAGATCCGCATCTCCATCAGCGACCGCCTCCATTCCCAATTCCCGATTATACCCCCCGCTACAAATGAAAGTTCCATCATATCCTGCCCTCCACTCCCTCATCAGACGGCTCTCCTCATCAGCGCTTCCAAGTGGTCCCGACTCGGTCTGGCCATATGCTGTGTATCTCGGCTGGGTGACGTGGAGGTAGGCCAACCGTTGGTTTAGCTCGCGTTGGAGGGAGTTTAGCCGTTGGATTACGGCTAGGCCGAGGAGTTGTGGGTCGGATTCGTGGGCTTCGAGATGGTCAATTGCAGGTGACACACGGACTCCAACCCGGTCAGGCCCGATAGCAAGAGAAACAGATCGGGTTATCTCGAAAAGGAAACGGGTACGGTTGGGGAGGGATCCGCCATATGAGTCAGATCGGTCGTTGATGCCGTCTTTTAGGAATTGGTCGATCAGGTATCCGTGGGCTCCGTGGATCTCAATGCCATCAAAGCCTGGTTACATAAAGTCGGTCATAAAACTTTTACAGAAAAATATCCAACTCTCTTATTTACAACCTCATCGATAGCACTTGTCACTCTTCAAGGTAATAAGTGCGTATACATGAGGGCAAAATACACAAATAATAATGCTGCAATTGGACTACATACAACTCCAAATACCGAACACTGTATTTTGAGTTTATTCTGAAAAGCTCACAGCTTTTATAAATTTTAATTCTCCATACTGGTTGAGAAATAATAGATAAGACTGAATAGATGGCGCGTCAATTTTCCTGTATCTTTTAATGTATAATGTTTCCATCCAATGAAGCAAATAGTTAATTATCTAATTTTGATATTGGAGCAAAATTGCAGGTTGTGAAACCAAATATAAATGTGTTTTAGTTATATTGCCTGGTCATTTGGAAGAAGATAGAGGCAGTTGTCTTTTGAAACAAAACTAACAACTAGAACTGCAATTACAATTATCTGTACGCAAATTGTGACAATGTTTTGTAACAAAATAAAAAATAGAAATCAAATTTTCAGGCAGCTAAATAACCTGAGAAATTAGAGCTATATTTCAGCTCCAATTACATTAGGAATGTAATTGTCGTTACTAATGCTGGCAAAAATAAAGCACTACAAAGGTAGATTTATATATAGGGACATGCACAATTAAAATGGTGAAAATGGCTAGTTTCTCTTTACCTGCTTTGATGGCATTTATGGCTGCTTGGCGATATAGCTCCACAATCTGTGGTATTTCTTCTTCAGAGAGTCGTCGAGGCTTTGCATATTTTCCGTAACTCCCATCGGGCATCAATATTCTCCACCTGCCCGATACTGGCTTATCAGTGGATGATATAGGAGCTCCACCACCAGGCTGATATACTGTAGCAGGAGGGAAAGGGGGAGATAAAATTGAAGTGAGTTTATAGAAAGAGTACATAATGTTGTGTAGAAGCAGGGAGAACAATGTAAATAGGAAAGTAGGGATGAAATGCAACAGAAAACATTTTCAATGGTTAATTGCAGAGTGGGTGTCATGCAATGTTAACTGTTGCAGAGATATCCTTATCTATTCTCTTATAGTTGTTGAACACATACAATCCCTTATTGTGCGTGTACAAATAATGGAGGTATAGCTTAGTTTAGGTATCATGGTGTCTAAATGCTAATAAAAAGTTAAGGGACGATAAGTGGCTAAAGCCTTGCAGCATGAGGAGGCGTATGTATAGACTAAAGTTAACACTATTTCCAGCATTGAAATAGTGGCAATTTTTTAATAAACAGCCAAGCAAGGGAAACTTGATACTGCATTGTCAGGTCAATCAATCTTCAATATTTCTCTTTTTAAAAAAAAGTCAATTTTCATGTAAAATTCAACCTGAAAGTATCCTTTTGGACTTCTGTTACAAAAAACTTTCTAGATTCAACTTCCATCGAAGAAGAAGATGAAACTTATGTGTTCTAAAAACATGGGTGCGGGTATAGTTGCATAATTGTAGCAAAAAATCTGAGAACCTGGAAAAGCCAAGGAACATGTTTTTTCTTAGATACCAACTTCAATCTTGGAATCACAATTGAAACTAACAGAATTGGCCAGAGAACAAATTGATAAAAATTGTAACATAGAACTCTCAAAGCTTTAGTGACATAGGACGACATTTAGGGGGGGAACATATCTTCTATGTTGAAGGATCTGGAGAGCATAGCATAGGAATTAATTATGTACAACATGAAGACGTACTTACAATCATCAGTCAGACAAATTCATGGTGTTCATAGATTAAAGACCTCAAGAAAACATCCAATAACACCATAAAACACAGTCTTCAGTGAAGGATCAAATTGTTATGGGGGATACACTGACAACATTACACTCCTTTCCAATTTCTGTAATATATTGCATAACTCTTCCGTAATGCTTCCATTAATATTAGGACTAGCATGCTCATACTTCTTATATTAGGCAAGATTATTGAAAATGAATCATACCTTCATTAGAAGCACGACCAACATGCCAAAGTTGACAAAAGATGATGCTTCCCTTTGCATGAACAGCATCCACCACTTTTTTCCATGCATCTATCTGCTCTTGTGTATATATCCCTGGGCAGTGAGGAAACCTTCAACAAAAAAATAAAATGAGAATCAGAATAAGCGTACGAGATGAATTTCATCAATAAGTATATCATCTTTCTATCTAGAGCCTGTGCCATCTTTCTATCTAGAGCCGGCCGATGGCATCTTTCTCCTAAAGCTAACTAGCATCCAGATTGCATGGCATTTTGCGCAATCATGTACCAAACAAATCTGAGAGTGAAAACCAAAATTAGCTCCCCTTGACTAAATGGAAGTGTAGCCGCATATACATCCTCACTCTTACTCCATACGTATAAAGAACTTGCAACTAATTGCAATTACACGCGGAAGTCAACCAAGAATCTGAGGAAATGTGCAATGCAAAGGGTAAAAGAAACAACAAGAAAACATGCAACTAACACAATTTACAAAATGTAGAAAAAGTAGTAATAGACAAGTGGTTGTCTAAATCATGGATTTTGAAATATTTTGGCTCTGTTTGGGCGAAGAGGAGTTTTGAGTACTTTTTGTAATGCTAGGATGATGCTGGACATGCCATCCATGATTAGGTTTGTTTTGCAGGATTAAGATTGGTTCTCTTGTTTCCAACATTTGACAACTTGATCTCTTTATGTCTCAACTCTCAATAATTTTGGAATGTTACATTTAAGTAACTGTTTCACTTTCTTCGATAAGTATATATTGGTAAAGCAATGGATAGCTGGTTGAATAATTTTTTAATTATTGAACCATAAGGTCCACACCTGTATATACCTATGTGTTTCCGAGTATAAAAATACTATACATAAATATGATATTTACAGAAACATAACATATATGTATATATCATGTATTATCCATGCATATATGTAAATTTCTTTGATATATGCTTCCTAATTTCATGTAGAAAGAAATATCAGCCAACTGTCTCTATAGACAGCCTTTTTGCTTAAATTGTGAATAACTTTCACAAAACTATCATAAACGATTAGTAGTTTTGCAAAAACAAAAAAAAAACAAAAACAAAAAAACAAAAAAAAACAATTTTTATTACCCCAAATTTTAGATCAACAGCAAATAGACAATGTGCTATCTATAAAAGCTTCCAGTGGAACTTTTATTTACTTTTTATAAGCTACCACAAATTTTCATATAAAACCACTAAAGTATTGTTACACTGCCCTTGATTTCATTACTACCGTAAAACTACCATATAACTTTCTGCATCATTTTTTACTATTTTTAAAGTTTGTGATAGATAATTTTTCTCTGGTTAGAGTAACTTGTTGTGTTTAGTGAACATCTCAACTTTCGATTCGATTCAATCTGATTCAACCTCTAGTTTAAGGCACACACAGCATAATAACTAAAAATAAAAGAATAATTCCAATAAACAAAAAAAAGTCAAAAAAAAATTACCCTCCAGCCCCAGGACAAATCAAAGTCCCTTCAGTGATCAAGTATCCGCCTTCAGTCGCCCTCTGAACATAATATTCAACATGAGCTTCACGCGGAACCCCATTCAGCGCCCTGCATCTCGTCATGGGCGCCAGCACCACTCTGCAAAACAACAGAAAGAACCCCAGCAATTTCACAGACGAATCCAAGGCTAAAACAGTAATTAAAAAAAAACAAATTTGAAAATTTTCGTCTCTAGAAACACCAAAAGACCGGAAGAGGTCGGAAAATTGCAGTGGTAAGTCCGCAATAATAAGATTGGCAGCCAGACTTTAGATTTCTCGCCGAATTAGAGTGAAAAATTCAAACTTTTCAGCTCTAATCCCCAAACAAAGTCAGCGAGAAAGAGGGGTGTGAATCAGAATCAGAGAGAGAATCAAGAGCCAGAGAGATAAAGTGAGCGAACCATGAACAGGGCAAGAATAGAGAGCGCAAGTCAACAGCTAGAGAGAGAGAGCGAGAGAATGAGAGCTAATTAGAGCGAATCGGGACGCGAGTCAAGAGGTAGAGAGAGAAAGAGGGCGAATCAACTCAGTCGGGGCTAGAGAGAGAAAGAGAACGGATCAGAGCTAGAGAGAGAAAGAGAACGGATCAGAGCCAGAGAGAGCGCGTGCGGTAATCTTACCGGTGAGATAACCGGAACCGTCCCATCTGATACGGGGAGAACAGCGATGGCCGTCGATCCCCCGATCCCATCGTCATTCTAGCTAGAGAGAGAATGGGTTTTTGGACGGCGCGAGATATTTTTGGGGAGAAGATGAAGAAAGGTGGGAGAAAATGGGGAGAGTATTGAGAGAAATATATAACAATGGTCGTCGAGAGAGGGAGTCGGATCCGATCACCGGGGCGAAGGCGAGAGGAAGCTCGAAGTGAAGCTGTAAAAGGGGGGCATGAGGAGGTGACGCTAGGGAAACTTCACCGGTGTAGCTCCTAAACTTTAACCAACTTTTTTCTACAAAGCCCTCCTCGATCTCTTAATTTAATCTATGAAGCCCTTAAGCTTTGTCCAGCGTTTCTATGAAAGAAGCCTTCGTAGTGTTCTTTCAGTCTATTAAGCCCCTAAAGTTTGTCTTTTCATTCTTTCTTGCTCCTGAAGTTTGCACTTCCGTTCTATTTAGCGCTTATGGTTCAACATGACTATAAACAGGTATAATGGTCTTATTGAATTTGTAGAAGGATATAATTTCATATAACTAAACAGATTCTTAGATTAGTTAAAGGGGGAAAATTAAATAATTTCCCCTTAATATGTGACTTTAAATAAAAAACCCAATAACATTCAATTGTTCATGTTGCTTCTATTTAGATCGAATTTTTTACTATATTATTATATCTTGATATAATATTCACATCACCATGCTTTGACTTTTTATGATGTAACTTAGAACAAGTAATAGATGGATCAAAGCTCAATCTGTAAAGCTTTGTCATGTCATTGTTTTGACGATACTCTAACTGTATCCTAGCTAAAACATGTAGTTGGGTGGTGTTTGAGGTGTAAAACCACCATCGGGGCTGGACTGCATGAAATTTAAAACTCTAAGAGTTAAATAGAATGAAAATAAAAAGTTTAGGGACAACATAGATTGAAATAAGAATTTGAGGGCTTCATAGAAAAATTGAGTAAAACGTAGGGGCATAATAGATTAAAATAGAGTTAAGGGCTTCATAGAAACGTTATGTAAAGTTTAGGGGCCGATTAGACTTTGGGCTCGTGTGGAGCTGACCCGGGTCGGCTTGGTTGTTTTGTAAAATAAGCAGCGAAGTAGGGTAGGGTGACGGGGTCCAATAAAATAGTGGATGTCTTTGTCTTAGATGGACGGCGGTCCACGCGGTCATTTTCGCACGTGTTTATTGTGTACCCGTTTTCTTTAGATTCCATGTTCAATAAATTAGTTTTATAAGATAACAATCATTCTTAGTCATAACTTACTACTTGGGGGTTCTTACTTGCAACCCAAAGTTTTACCTCCATTTCCTCTAAACGCACATATAATATTTACCTACATTTATAAACTCAAAAATATAAAGTTTACTTACATTGGTATTCTATATGCTTAGTTTAGAGGTGAGGTATCTCCATTTACTTACAACCAAAATACAAAGTTTACTTACATTTATAAACTCAAAAATATAGAGTACAAAGTGTACACATATAATATGCATCTCGTACTATGTACTTATTCATCATATAATATTTACATATACATTGCGTAACTATACACCTTCCTGTGTACAGCTATGTATTGGTATTCTATATGACTATATGCTTAGTTTAGAGGTTAGTAAACTTTGTATTTTGGGTGCATGAGAACATATGGAATTTTTTTTTTTTTTTTTTTTTTTTGGGGGATTTTTTTTTTTTTTTTTTTTTTTTGGGTCGCGGGAGTGGCTTTTTTTGAGGGGTGGGGGGTTAGTGAAACTACTCGGGTTTTAAAGGAAACAGGTATAATCATTTGGATTTGTAAATAAAAGCCAAAGTTCTTGAGGTAAATAAAATTTAACGCGGAAAAGAGATAAATGACAATCATTTGTTACCTACTCCGTTACTTATAGCCTGTTTGATTGTTTTCTATAATTATAAGGAAATATGTTTCCATGTAAAATATCTATTTTCTGGTGTTCATTTGCATAGAAAAGTGTTTCTAGTGTTTGTCTCAAAGAAAAACATGGGGTTTAATTAATTTCCATTATTCTTTACTTGGTTTGGATCAAATTTAAAAAAGAAGAAAGATAATTGATGTGCGAATAGATTTCATCATTTTTCTTAATTTGGTTTAAATTTAAAAAGAAAAAAAAATAAGATTATGCTCACTATAATGTGCTTACCAGACAAAATTGTTGCCAACATAAATTGAGTGATGAACATACCCACCGAAATTGTGGTCACCTTAACCTTCTCTCTTTTCTATTGAAGTGAGAAACCCAAAAGGTCCGGGTTTATCTTTTTTATTCTGAAATAATAAGGTTCTTGTTGATTTCAAAGTTATTTCTTTCTGTTAGTGTCAGGTTCTTCAATTTTTTGACCGCCCAAACAGCCTCTTGTATGGTAAAATAGTTTGATCCAAGATTTCAAGAGGAGAGGTTGGATGAGATTTCTCCTCTTTGACCAAGAATATCCTCTTGACCTCCGATATTAAAGATATTTACTTTATGTTTAAGGGGTCTCTATTAGTGACAGTGGAGCAAGCTACACTCATCACCGTGCGTTACTTTCATCGCTTCCTCACCCATATAAGACAAGCGTTTTACCATCAGCAGTGAATCTATTCCTTTATACAAATAGGAGGATCTGAGAATTTTATTCATGCTATAGTAATTTCAACAGTAAAATATTTACTATAGTACGAACAGCAGCTTTATTACTGTAGCACACTGGAACACTGTAGCAATTTTAGAAAAATACGATATGCTGTAGCAATCTGAGGAACTTAATGATTGCTCTTATGAACAGTAATTCTATCACTGTAGCACAACAGGCACTGTAGCACTTTCGCATGTGAGGTACTGTAGCAATCCAAAAACTTACTATAGCATTTTAAGAAACATAATTGCTATAGCATGAAAAAATTTATCATCGTGCTTTGCACGGACCACAAACTAGTATGTTATAAAGAAAAACACATGTTGAACGCGGAAGAGAAGAGAACACTAATATGCACTTTCAATAAAGAAAAATTACGTTCATCCCAGTTCAAAGTACACAGTAAATACACCCACAGCCGAAGCTTCCTCGTATATAAAATTGATTACAAAATATCTTCTTTCAACACCTTCAGCTTTTTCTCCATTACTCATAATGTAAACCTAATTTCTAACTGCGGCAATAAGCTGAGCCATGCAAGTTGCGTATTGAACAGCGGTATGTTGTGACGTGTAATGATCTTGAAGGCCATAGTCGGCAAAGTTTGATTCAATATGCATGAAATGGCCAGGCAATGATTTTTTCGATACAGCTTCCTGCCATATGTCAAAGAATTCCTCAAGAACTTGGCGAGATTTCTCTATTGAGGATAAGGGAAGGTATTCTACCTGTAAAAGGAAATGTATATTAACCCAAGCATCATGTTCATCAAAAATAATGACAGTTAAACACTAATGAAGAGTATATTTAATCCTCATCATCATCATTAATAACAATTCATAGTTATTATGGAATACCCTAAACTTTTTTCACTAAACTACTATGACTGACGGGACGTTATTGTAAGCTGGCACGTGATAGACACCACGGAATTTTTATAACTAGTTGGATAAATTTTGCCAATGCTACCATAACCTTGTTTGATTATTTAAAATCTACAAAAATATACACAATTGGCTGGCAGAAAGTACTACAATAACAATGTTGTAAGAAAGCCTAACATAATTCTAATAGTTAAGAAGGGGAGAGAATGACAGAACGGATATATAAAGTAAACACATTAAAAAAGTCCAAAATATGTGGCATGCTTATCCACGTGCCAGCTTATTACAAACGTCTGCTGGTTATGATAGTCTAATGTAGAAAGCTTATGATATTTTTCTCTATCAAATTTATGATATTTTGTGCAAAACCCCTTAAGGTTCATAGTACTTTTGGCAACTTTAACATCTCACCCTCTCCCCCTTCTTAATCATTAAAGGTATTTTTGACTTCTTAACAACGGTCACATTGACATTATTGGGATAATTTTCCGATACCGTGTGATTTTTCTATGCATTTGGAACTTTTAGTGTTTCCTCTAAAAAATAGTTTATGGCATCATTTGCAAAACCTGTAACAACTCATGGCAGTTTTGTACAATTTACCCAAGAATTATTGAAGTGCTCAATTTGATCTCAGTTTGAGTTTTGAAACTACAAATATCATGCATATTTCCTTTCTGAAAGTCAACCTGACATGAATCTGGGTAACCACAATGATTATGCATACTTTCCGTTGAAAATCAAAACTGACATGCTGGCTTGCTACTAAACAGGTCAGGAGGTCCTCAAGTGACCAGAATTTCAGTGGATCGGGTATGGATGTACTATCTTAATCGATTTATCAATTATGTCTGTTCAAATCAGATTATCATTCGGGAAGGACCAGGATTTTATCAAACCCGGGGCTCGTCTTAAGCCTTTTATTAAACTTGTCTGTTCCAATCCACGATAATTGGGGATGGACCAGGATTTGAGCGGGTAATAGTAGCAGAGGCGTACTTCTTCCAGTATAAATAGGGGAATTTTCAGATCAGCAAGATGTATACTGTGAATTTGAGATAAATACACGTGCAATGTACTTGGATGACTTTTATTTTTTAAATGTAGGAGCCTGATGCAGACTTCCTAGAAGTTTAATCTGACTTTAGAGGAACAGAGAAGTTTCCACAGTTAACAACTGACACGAGTATATAAGCAATGAATACCATAGTAAATTACTAAATTTTAATATGACTTAAAACTGCAATACGAAAGAATAAAAAAATCAAAATGTTTGGTCTTTTTTTTTGGGAAAAGGCCGTAGCCACTACTAAATGTTTGGTCTCATAGTAAACAAAGTGCGTCCACATGATCTGTCACAGAAAAATCATCTATGGCTCCTCTCATATTATCCACATCAAGTGCTATTCGAACTAGTCATATTTTTCTGAGGACCTCTGTGTTGCAATATTTTATATTATCTAGTAGGTTACCCAGGATTTCAACAACTGATTGATCCATGTGTTAAACAAACTCTCATTGGATGCTACACAAGTTGACATTTTACGGAGCGGCAACCATGTTCTCTAGTATGAATTAAAACAGCCCTACTTTTCCCTAGTCATGGGCCATTTAGCACAGTGAAAAATCTAGGAGCTTTTAAGCCAATACCTGATCTGATTCTTTGAATTAAATTAGGCCATGTCATTTGTGAGGTGATATAGCAGCTTCTTTTGATATAGCAGCTTCTTTTGATATAGGTTTGCATTTTTAGCTTTTAATCTGAAAGAGAGGTGCTTAATTTTCACAATCAGACTACTGGAGACTTTCATCAACAGTTGGCAGTATTGTTATCTTCATAATAAGGAGAAATTTAGAAAATAATTACTATGTTTTTCAGCACTGAAACTGGCACTAATACATTTTGCAGTACATTTATGTTGCTTTAATAGTTATATTGAACACTACCAAACAATTTCTATGCAGTCCAAGCTGTTTTCTCCAACAGTATCAGATCGATTTCAAGGTATCTCATCCTTCATAATTTTTATTAGCATGCTGTCATTTTGAGTATAGAAGTATTCAACTCTACTGCCTGGCAGCTAAAACACTATTTTGTTTTTATCACTCTGGAGTAAAATCTACCCAATTTCGTCCTTGTAAGATTGGAAAAACATCTAGATCTGACTTCTACACAGTCTTGCTAATCGTGATGACAATGGGGGAATTGGAGGCAAAGGTTTTGAAAATGGTGTTCTTGAACAACAGAAGATTGATGTGAAGTCCAGCTTGTCAAGGCATGCCATGAAATCAGGCATGCAATGCTCTCTATCATCTACTTGTTGCTTTATGGAGATATTGATCTCCATAATGATGAAATCATTGGGTCAAAAATACGTGACGTCTATCTTTTAGCTTTTATCATAAGAGTAATAGAGGATATAATAGCAAAGAAACCCTAAATAGATAAAGTAAAAGAGAAATAATTGATTCATCAAATTGGATCAGAAGCTCGTGCTCCAACTCCTATATAGAGTGACAAGTCCAACAGCGACGTTTATCCATAACACTATCAAGTATGTTGATTTCCTGCCCAATCCAGCTAAAGTATAATATCTTATCTCAAACTAACTTGAATTCTAACTTACGGACAGCCCACTCAAAGCAAATTAACCAAATTAAACCTAACGATCGTGATCTATAAACTATTAAATTGAATAATCCAAAACAATGCAATTCCTTATATTCTCTTAGGTGGCATTGTGGGTCACACAGTCCAATTGCAATTGGGCAAGTGAGGATGCATGTATTGAGTACATTAAATGGATAATTCTGCATGAAATGCACTAGCAAGAACTAGTACAGTAGTACCTATAAAATGTTTTATAAAACAAAGTCCCTGACCATCTGACTGACTGCAACCGAAACTTTAGGTGCTTTAAATTCATAAAAATGATCATTAAAGAAAATAAGAAATAGGTCCAAATTATGTAGTTTGATTGTCGAGATGCTTGATTTCTCAGAATGCTGATATTTACCATTCGATTGGATTTACACATTTGGGATCTTATCTCCTAATTTTGAGATCAGATGAGAAAATGAGACTGTATTTGACATAAACTATGACCAAATTTAAAAGAATATTTTTGAACTGTACTTGAATCTATAATTGTGCATTACCAAATATGACATCCAAATGGTTGTATTTCCCTCAAAATGGGCATTTAGAAATCTTGGAGTGACAATAGACTCCATTAAACATAACATGCAGGCAAGTAACTGTTCACATGCAAATGAGGTATAAATTTCTACAATGCTAAGTGAAAAAACAACCTGATAGTAAACCTCTAGGGTGTTATATTGACTCAACTACATATGTCAAGCAAATATTATCCAATGATATCGTTGCATAAGATATGCTTTCCAGTCGCGATATTTAGTAATTTAATAATATATTTTTTTGCAATAAAGCTATAGAAGCATAAAGAACAGGTAAAGTTTACTTAGATACAAATATACTTAAGTATGTGAATATTCGAAATACAAAACATACCTCCATCATGATTCCCCTCAAACTTTCAGAGGTAGAAGGAACACACTTTCCCACTCTCAATCGGAAATCACCAAGTTGATATTGAAAACCCTAAAAGATATAGCAGAATATCATAAAAACAAAGGAAGAGTTGTATTCAAATTTCTTCCATGAATTAGAAGAATGGTATACCTACAAACTACCGTAAACCATATTAAATCAGAACTTGTCTATAAAATAAATACTAAACAAAAATGAAAAAACAACACAAAAAAAGCCATAATATACCTCCAAATAAAAAGACCGGTTTCCCCAACATTAAAAGTAAACAAAACCCATCAGTCTCATATAAAACTAAAACTAATGCACACCAAAATGAGACCTTGTTAAAAAAAATAGAAAAAGAAAAGGTTAAAGAAAAAATCAAAACATAATACAACAACAAGAACAATAAAGCCTTTATCCCAAAATTGGGGTCAGCAACATGAATCTATTCTTTTCTTTCATTCAATTCTATTATGCCTTTATCCTCTGCTAAATGAGCTATAATCATTTCCTGCTTAATTGTTTCAACCAAGTTCAATTCGGTCCACCCGCAACCTCTTTGGCCCATTGACAATAATCATATCAGTTCTCCTCACTGGGTGCATTTAGTGGTCACTGTTGTACATGATCAAACCATCTCAATTGATTCTCTCATTTTATCCCGATGGAAGCAACCTCTAATCTCCTACAAATTCATTCATTTTGTATCCTATCTTCAAGAGTATATCCACAAGACCGTAATAACATTCTCAATTATGCTACATCCATTGTTTGCACATATTGTTTTTACTTTCCCAGCATTTTTGCGCATGCTGTTCTCCAAAACACAGTCCAATTCCAACAAAAACCCATCTCTCCCGCATGACAATCAATCCCAAATCAACCGCAAGATCATAACTTGTCAACAAAACCAACACTAAAAATCAAATTTAAAATAAAGAAACAAGAAAAATACCTCAAAATTGAGCACAATCCGAGCTTTATAAGACTGCAACTTCTCCATAATAACTTGAATCGACAAATCCGCTTCAAGAACAATCCTATGAGCCCTCAATATGAAATAGTACTTGTTCGGCTGCTCTTGCAGAGCTAGCCCCAGAAAATCCCTCGGATGGTCCACCGTCCCTGATGACGTGTCCCTCACGATCGGACGGTAGAATGTCAACGACGACTTCCAACGGCCGTCCTTGACGCCGTTAAGTCCCTCGACGCACTGGCACGCCTCCGTTAGGATCTGGCTGTTTAGGGCCGTACCTGGGCTGCGATTGAGAGAGAGGCGGGGAGGAGGGGGTGGTTTGGTTTTGTGCGCTTTTTGTTGAGGTAATTTGTATTAGGGCTTGTTTGGTTCGAAAAAATACCAAAAATGCGTGCAAAGAGGCACTTCGGAAAATAAAGTCTAAAAAATGATTATTATTCCTGTGTTTGCTTTTAGGGGCTGTTTGGTTGTTTTCCCAAAAAAATCGGAAATGAAAAACTCACTTTTCAACTCATTTCAAGAGATTTCAAGATATTCTCCCTATTTCTTTTTTTATTCGCAATGAAATCACTGTCACGTCACCGTCACGTCAAATAAGAAACAATCCAGCCGCATGGAGACGCTGACGGAGAGTTGAGAGATTAGAAGCCCTAACCTACGGTTTTAGGAGGAGGGGGGAGGTAGAGAGAGATGTTTACCATTTGACCGTCATGGAGGCGCTGCGATTGAGAGAGAGGCGGGGAGGAGGGGGTGGTTTGGTTTTGTGCGCTTTTTGTTGAGGTAATTTGTATTAGGGCTTGTTTGGTTCGAAAAAATACCAAGGAAAATGCGTGGAAAGAGGCACTTTGGAAAATAAAGTCTAAAAAAGGATTATTATTCTTGTGTTTGCTTTTAGGGGCTGTTGGTTGTTTTCCCAGAAAAAAACCGGAAATGAAAAACTCACATTTCAACTTATTTCAAGATATTCTCCCCCATTTCTTTTTTTAGTCGCAATGAAATCATTGTCACGGCATCGTCACGTCAAACAAGGGTCTGTTTGTTTGGCTAAAAAAAGAAGAAAATCAAAGAATAAGAAACATATTTCTTAAAAAATTTATTTTATGGTTGTTTGGTTGGCTAAAAAAAGATTGAGTGAATTTTTAAGAAAACTTATTTTGAGGTTGTTTGGTTGGTTAAAAAATAAGAAAATGAATTATAAGAAACCTATTTTCTATAATAGGTTCTTCTCTTGTGTTTGGTTCATTCTTAAAAATAAGAGATGAGATGAGTTATCATTATATTATTGGATGATGTAACACATACTTAAGGAAATCAATTTTCTTAGTTTTTTTTGAAAAATGGGAGGAAATAAAATGTTAATGAGATGAGATGAGTTGTAACCATATTATTGGATAATGTAGGTGATTTTTAAAGATGAGATGAGATGAGTTGGATGATGTGACCCATTTCTTGTGTTTGGTTTATTTTTAAGAGATAATATGAGATGAGTTGATAGATGAAAATAATATTTTATTGGATAAAGTGGATGAGTTGTTAGATGAAATGAATATTTTATTGGATGTTGTGGTGAGTTTTAGAGATGGAAATGGAGGTAATTGATGTTTTTGAGATTTCCTTGACCCAATTTCCTATTTTGGTTTTTAGGAAACCAACCAAACAGCCCCTAAGAAACAATCCAGCCGCAAATAGTAATAGTGTTTCGATTTCTATTTCTTGTGCTTGTTTGAACATAAAAATAAGAAATGGAAATCAACCGCAATAGTAACAGTATTTTTAGCAATTAAATAATATATTTTATTCACAGTCACTGTTTCAACAGTGCTTTTAGTAATTAAAATTTCATTGAAGTAATATTTTCAAGTGTTTTCAGAGGTTTTTGGTGTGAAAACACTTTTCTCAAAAATCTGACGTGACATCATACGTGACACCCTCATTTTTTTAAATCACAAAACGAAACAAACATGTGATTTGAAAATCGGTTAAAACCAAAATTCTACGTGACAGAGGGGGATTTCTTGAAATCTAACGTAGCGGGGGAGGGGGGGTGTCTCATTTTTTTAGCAAACAAACAGCCCCTAAAAATTTTGTTCAATAAAAGTTTTCTTAAAATAAGAGAAAACGCGTGAAAAGGGTCCCCTCTCATTTCCGAGTTTTTACGACAATAATAGAGTTAAAATCTGACAATTCCCATTAAATATTGCCAGCTACTTCCTTCCTCCTTTTTCTTCTTTTCTCGCAGAAACCCTAAATTTTTACCGCCACTTCTCACCTCCATCTTCTTTAACTTCTTGCGGGAAATCCTAAATTTTTACCACTACTTCTCATTTCCCCCTCTTTAAATTCACTCATGCTGTGAAGACCTAGTAAAATCCTTCACAAATTAGAGCAAAAAGGCTCAACTTTTGGGTTTAGATGATGATAGATCAAGCATGGATGGAGAAGGGACTCTGAGATCTGGTTTATTTTGCATGTTCTTTTTTTAGAAAGAGGGATCTAGTTTTAATGGAGTTCTTTCTTTGAGATCTGTTGATTCTTGCTAATATTGAGTTATTCTCAACCACTTTGTGAGCTCATTCAGATCCCAATGAGATTTACCTCAATTATCTCGTATATATTAAAAAAAAATTGGATATTTCCATGTATAATATCTTATTGGTTTCAACATTTTGCCTTCCACAAGAAAAAAATCTTAAAATATTAATGACTTAAGAGCAATTTAATGGTTTGAAGATCTAATTTCAAAATATTAATGATGTAAGGGATCAATATAAAGAAAACTATTATTATTAATGATAAAAATAAATTATTGAATTCATCAAAGTAAAATGGTAGGTTTTATCTGGTCATTTAGTATTTTGATTAACTATAAAGAAATCACTTCCACCTGTTGTTTACTTCCACCTGTTGTTTATCCGGCGACCAAGTATAATAGATATTCAAAAACTTTTTTCTATAATTTTCTTCGTCAGAATGTGCAAATTCAATCAATATAGAAAGCATAAATTATATGATCAATTCCAAAATCTGACACTGTAGTCTATCTAAATCTTCCTAACTAATTAATTGATTTGTCATAACGATTACTCTCTAGTTTCAGAAAATTATAAAATATAATATGAGAATGATTTATACATATTATGCATTATGGGTTATATTTTAACAAATAATTTAGATATATCCAATGTCAAACATCATCCAAAAATTTAGGTTGAGAGTTATAAGAATCCATTATCCGCAACAATACTCAACTCAAGTTATGTGCTTCATAAACTTATAAGATGGTGAGAATTATAAAAATGGACAATTTAATTTATTTTATCAAATAATTTACTACAAATCATGAAAGACAAAGTGAATCAGAAGGATTACATACCCCTCACAGATAAAGATTAAATTTTTCTTAGAGATTCTTGTAGCAAAAGAATTTCAGAGTTGATGTATAGGATAAATCTTAGGACACATAACCCAAATCAGTTCATAGGGTGATATACTTGCTATAAAATCCATTTTTATAAGATTGATGTCACATGGGCCTTAAGTTGCGTTTTAAGGATTAATTTTAGAACACTTCCTCTTAGCTACGGGGGGCAATGTCAAAAGACCCCACTCAACTTTTTTTTTGTGGATATGTGGGAAACCTAGTGAGGCAGAAGGATTCCCTAGCCAAGGCCCGAGTTCGAGCCCCTAACCCTTACCAATAAACCATGGATGAACTGGGCCCCCTACCCCATCCAATCACCAAGTTAGTAGGATACTTAAGGGACATGGGTGACAAACCTCGAACTCGGGCCTTTGGCCATGAAAATTACTGGCTTGAAACTGAGTAAATCTTCGTCAAAATTGGGGTGTTGTAGATAATCTTTCTCAACCTCAATTTTTTGGTTTAATCCTATAAACTTTTCTCACTTAACCGGTCAAAACTAATATCATTGAGTCTAATCTATTATATGACAAGTATTTGATTTGGAAAGAACAAAATATCCCTCAACCATAAAAGAATTAGCTTGTTTTTTGCTAGATTAAAAAAAAGAGGAGATATAGAAGGAAAAAGAATTATAAATTGGTCGTGATCATTTTATTATCGGTTGAGAGTTTTTTTTAACTAAAATAGCTTTCTTCAATAGGGTATTTTCTCCAAATCACATATTCAAGTAACTACATTAAGGAGTTTTGTTGAGAGAAGTGTAAAAGGTCAGAGGAGTTTTTATGAGACACGCTATAGTGAAGGGGCGTTTTCTAAAGTCGCACAAAAGTTAAAAGGGGTTATCTACAACACCCTCATAGCTAGGATGTTTTGCCAAATTAAATCAATTGAGTGGGGTTTTTGAGACAATCCTCATAGCTGAAAGAGTTTTCAAAAAAATAACACTTTTTTAAAAAATTTGGCTTGTTCACTTTTTTGTCCCTTAAAATTTTAATACTTCAATATTAGTCCTTGAATGTTCAAAAGAACCATAATCCGAAGAACCATAATCTAAAGAACCTGAATGTTCAGAAGAAATGTTTTAATAAGAGTGGCAAATGCTTCAACTGTGGGAAGCAATGATATTTTGCCAAGGATTGCAAAGCACCAAAGAAGTGAACAACACACAATGTTATTCAATTTAAAAATTGTGTGACTATGCTCTAGACAAATCGCTCCAATATGGAGAATGCAAGATGTGTGTTTATTGGCTTTGCTGAAGATAGTGATGCTTACAGGTTCATGGATCTTGGAACCAACACCATCATTGAAGCTCAGGATGCAGAATTCTTTGAGGATAAGTTTATCAAAGATAAATATTGATTGCTCAAAGATATAGCAGAGAATGCTAGTATATCAGATGCACCAGAGGAGTCAGTTTCATGAGAGACTGAAAATGTCAATGATGGAGGAATTACTGAACCACCTCCCAAGCGTGGCAGGAGACAGAAATATTTTGGAGATAACTTCATCACCTATAATATGGAAGGAGACCCACCGACTTTCCAAAAAGCAATGCAGATAACAGACGCTCTCCTGTGGAAAGAAGTTATAGATGATGAGATTGATTCATTGATCCAAAATCACACGTGGGAGCTGGTGGATGTACCTGAAGGTGCTAGACCTATTAGTTGCAAGTGGATCTTTAAGAAGAAGCTTCGTCTTGATGGTACTATTGAGAAGTACAAAGCAAGACTAGTGGCGAAAGGATTCTCTCATAGAGAAGGAATAGATTTATTTGATATCTATGCACCAGTTTGCAGGATCACTACCATCAGAGTGCTTATCGCATGAGCGCGATAAAAATATTCGTCATACATCAGATGAATGTGAAGACTGTCTTTCTCAATGGAGACCTCACAGAAAAGATCTACATAGAGAAAGCAGAAGGACTTGATGCTCTAGCTGGTAAAGTGTGTAAACTCCTCTGGTATGTGAGAAATCAAAGAAATCCTGAGCTTCTCTGGATTTTAGCAGGCACCGAAACTCTGGTGCATCTGACATACTAGCAACGACCTCGATCTACATGCCTGCTTCAGCGACCTTGATCTACGTTGATTTTGAATTTTTTTTTCTCTCCCAAGAAATTTCTATTATCTGCTAATTACATGTAAGGAGGTTATGTAAGAAATGATCAAAGCTCAAGGAAGCTTTTGTAAGACACTAAAATTTTGGATTTTGGGTTTGGGTTTTTGAGGTGTGGTGGGTGGTGGTGGGGAAGGTCGCGGTGGTGGGGAGGATTTATGGAATAATACTTTTTTTAGGAAGGTTATGTGAGAAACCCCCAAAAGTTTGGGGGGAGTTATGTGAAATTAATTGAATATCAAAATATGAAGATTTGAGGACTAATATCAATATACTTATGATTTAAGGGACTAATATCTATAAAACCCATAAATTTAACATAAAATTTCACTGAATTTGGATGGGGTACCAAAGTGAAACATGATTATTGAAACTTTTGGGTGTCAAAGTGTGAAAAGAATATCTTTGGGGATATCAAAGTGAAAAAGTGGATAAATCTTGGGGTACCAAAGTGAAATCAAGCCCTTTTGGGTTTAGACAACGGATAGACTATAGAGGTGCTAACCGGGTCGGATTGAATCCAAAACCGGAAGATCCGCCTGCCCCGCATCCATTATAGAATCGAACTCTATTTCACCCGAATCGCTCTCATAAAACAATCAACCCCTCTCTCTTCCCCCATGGCTGCAGAATCTCCTGCTTCAGATCGCAAAGGTGAGAAAAAGGAAAATTTTCCCAAATTTCTCAGTTTCTAGGGTTAGGGTTTTGTTCACCTCAATCCTATTTTGTTCTTTCTTGCAGTTGTGGTTCACTTGAGAGCGACCGGCGGCGCTCCAATCCTCAAGCAGGCCAAGTTTAAGGTACTGTCTTCAATAATTTCTTCTTTCCTTTTTATTTATCAAATTAGTTACAAATTCGATGAGTATATTTTAACTTACAATTTGCGCTCCTTTTTTTTTCCGTTTAGAGTAATTTAGTTTTCCAGAGGAAACCTTAAAGTGGAAGTTCAACGCTATCAATATTTAAATATTCTAATAATTTTGAGTAAGAATATTGTTTTGAGATTGAAAGATGGTTCTGTGTCTAGAGTTTGTATCAGGTTAATTATAGTTATTGTTGATATTATAATAATTTAGGGTAAATTTTCATGAAACATAGCATGAGCCATTAGGGGTTTTTCACATAACTAGTATAAACTACTTTTAATTTAAAAAATATCTTCAATTTTCATGTTATTAGAAAAAACTGTGTATCAGCAAAAATTATATGTTACTATTATGATAATATTTGCAAGTCCGTAGATGTTACTTTCATGGCAGTTTAATGACTTTATCTGAAGATTATCCTCAAATTCAATGAATATCTTTACTTGCAATTTATTCTTGTTTTGTTTCACATAATTTAGTTCTTCAAAGAAAACCCTAGAGGAAATTCAATGCCTGCAATGTATTCGTGGAACTGAACTTTTTTCTTATAGCTTTGTAGGTAAAAATCTAAAAATTCCAGTAATATTGAGCAATATTGAATTGAGATTGAAAGATCGGTCTGTATCTGAACTCTTTTTGAATGCGCTAGAATTTGATACCATGTTCGTTATTGTTATTGTTGCTATTATAACAATTAAGGGTTAATTTTGTAAAACTATTTATGAACTATTAGGGTTTTGAATATAATTCTTATAAACCTTTTACAGAGGAAAACATCATAAATCTTTAAATTGGCAGAAAAACCACACCAGAAAATTATATGTTAGTTTTATGGTAATATTTGCAAGGCCATGGATGTAAAGTTCATGGTAGTTTAGTGACCTTATCTGAAAGTTCATGGTAGTTTTATAGAACACAGATAAAATTCCACATATATGTAATTCATGATCTTTTTATAGTATCATGGTTTTTTTTTTGCTGATTTAAAATTGTATTGGTACTTTGTCTAATAAATTAGTTTATCGTATTTTTTTTGCAAAAGGCTAACTGTTCATGGTAGTTTTGTAGCACGGTCAAGTTAGTTAGAGGCCATTATGTGAGTTAGTTTGGTGTTTTTTCCTCAAGTTTTTGGTTCTAAAAAAGAGACTTTATTTTGGCTATTGTCAGGCCAATATTTGGGGGGGGGGGGTTACCTCAAGGAACCACATACCACATTTTACTCTTGTTTAAATGTGACGTTTAACAAGATAACTTGTATAGAGAAACTTGTTCGTATATAATAGGGCCTAAAATATATGACATGCATGGACAAGAAGCTGCAAATCGTAAACTATTTGAACTTACTATCATAAATTTCCAGCATATATATGGTAACAGGATTGCTAATTGATGATGTTGGAAAATCGTTCTTAAAATGGGAAACAAAAGAAAGAAAAGAGGGAAGAGAGGGAAGAGATAACTGTTGTTTATCTTTGATATATCCTGATACGGTCTGGTTCTATTTGGCTCGTCTCATGAAATCTGAGTGAAATTCTCAGGGGTTGTCCTTGGTCAATGGAGTGCTCAATCCATCATCTATGCTTTTTGTCCTGGTGAGCATTACCTAAAATCCTCTGCCCTGCCTCTGGGATAACTATCTTGTGTGCCTCTATCTATCACCATTTATCTAAGCCCTTCAATTTGTATAACACTGTTGGGATTTAAAACCACCCTTACGTATATAGGATAACTTTTTAAAGAAAATCCAAATGCAAAAGTGGAATTATCTAACTTTAAGATCCTGGGGATAAACCTTCACATGATTTTACTGATTGCATGTAGAAATACTTTGCTGAATATAGATTTTAATTAACATTATCTGCTATTTTGTAAGAAATTTGTGCTAATTTTGGCCTATAGTATTGGAGAATTTAATGATGTACATCACCTGGATAATCCTTGCCAGTCATTTTGATACCTAAGTTGTTTCAGAACGACATTTTTGGAAACTTTTTCATATGTATGAATGGTTGATATAAAGTTGGACAAATTTTGAAAATCGACCGTTTTTCAAAGTTAATCGGCAAAATCGACCGTTGAAATTTTTTTTAGCAAAATCGACCCTTTTCTGCACGGGACTGCTAGTCCCGTGCAGAAAAGGGTCGGTTTTGCAATTTTTCAAACTGCACGGGACTGCTAGTCCCGTGGACTGCTAGTCCCGTGCAGTGCGGTTCTGCCCCCCACCCGACCCCAATCCACTTTCTCTCTCCTCCAACAATCCCCTCCTCCGTAAATCTCTTCCCATTCTCCAGACCCACCAACATTTTCCCCTCTTCTCCAGACCCACCAACATTTTCCCCTCTTCTCCTCTTCCTCCTCCTCCTCCTCTATCACACCATCATCATCCATCAATGGAGACGATGCCAGCACTGCCGCTAACTCAGCCGCCGCCGTTCCAATTCTACAAGAGGACAGCGAGCGGCCCATTGTTAGTTCCAGGCATACCGACGCCTATGCCGCCATTGAGCTCGCTTTGGATTCTGTTGTCAAGATCTTTACCGTCTCCAGCAGGCCCAACTACTTCCTCCCTTGGCAGAACAAATCTCAGAGGGACAACATGGGTTCTGGTATTTCCAATTAATTCCATTCAAAATCTTAGCTTGCTATCCGAGTTTTGTTTATTGGAATGAGATTTACGGAGGAGGGGATTGTTGGAGGAGAGAGAAAGTGGATTGGGATCGGGTGGGGGGCGGAACCGCACTGCACGGGACTAGCAGTCCCGTGCAGTTTGAAAAATTGCAAAACCGACCCTTTTCTGCACGGGACTAGCAGTCCCGTGCAGAAAAGGGTCGATTTTGCTAAAAAAAAATTTCAACGGTCGATTTTGCCGATTAACTTTGAAAAACGGTCGATTTTCAAAATTTGTCCTATAAAGTTTGTTCAGTTGTAAAAAAAATGGCTCTCTTTGGTGCCTAGCTAAAAGCCTTTAATTTCTACAGGGCTAAATTCATATTGAAATCAAATTGAATTCTATGGATCATCCATGAGATGAGATGCTGCATCTTGGAATTTTCACATTTATTTCCTACCAGTTGAAATATTTCATCTTCCAAAAACTACCTATTCTGCTTCTGTTGTCTTCTAGTAGAATCTGTTCTGGGTATACTTCATTTTGATTGTTCAGAATGTTTTAAACGTTTATTAATATCTTGTCGGTGTTTTTTGAATATAGTAACTAGTGTAATTCAACTTCTAGTTTTCTACAAAAATTCCCACAATTTTGACACTTTATTTGCAGATTTCTGGAAGTGACAAGTTTTCAAAAGTGATTGAGTTTCTTCGCCGTCAACTTCATCTAGATACATTGGTAAACATGCTTAAGATTATAATATGATGTTAATCATTTATGAATAGAGAACATCACTAACCATTCGACTACCTTAACAGTTTGTGTACGTTAATAGTGCTTTTTCACCCAATCCAGATGAATTGGTAATTGATCTATACAATGTAAGATCTCTTTCTTGTAGTTGTTTCCTATTTGCCTGAAGATTTTAATTGGTTTACTTAAATCATTGTTGTAATTTCTGTTAAATTTCATGCATGTTTTCTGTAATATGAATACCTGGACTAAAGGCTATACCACTATATGGTATATTCTATATATTGTGATTAGCATTTTCACTATTTCAGTTCATTTTCATTACTTTATAGTTTATGGATGATAAAATTTGAAGCTCCATACTGTCGATGTTCCTAGGCTACCTACTTGTTCCTAGTATTAACCAGTGTTATTGCGAGAGGAGATTTCTCTGGTTCTTCTTATTTCTGCAAATTTCTTGTTTTCTACAGCACTTTGTAGTTCATGCTCCCCAAGGCTATATCTTGGATACATACAGATTACAACTTAATTTTGTGACAATTATTGATATTCTTCGAGGTAAGAAGTCTCCAGGCCAACATATAATTTGAGCACGGAGAAACCATTAGCTACCATATTGTACACTTCATCCATTCTCATCTTCACTGGTCTATGGTATATCAAACACAGAAGATTTAATCAGCGATAATTCCTTTTTTAAGTCTTTTTCCTATCTGCTGTTCACCTTGATTTGCAGCTACGAATGTGGATATCCATGGATATATCCTTACCCTTATCCTAGTACAAAATATCTTTAATTCTGGTAGGATATAGACAAGAATATGGGTATAGATAAAATAGTTGGATCCATATCCATGTATGTATATGCACACACACACATAACCCAATGGTTGAAATTGTTTTTGACTTTAGGTTAATGGAATGAGGCTAATTTCGGTGATTCAGATGTCTAAGTGTAGCCTTTTAAATTTGTCGAACATATTGATTCAGTCGTATTTGAGAAATTAGATTTTATTTAAGCAACTCTTGTATCATGTGGCTTGTATATATTTTTCAACCTTATTTTTTCTTCATACTAATTTGCATGCACGTGCATTGCACGTGATTAAATATCATTATTGTTTCTTTTTGGTCTATTTCCTTACTTAACCGAGGTTGTGAAATATGGCTTTATAGCTGGCTTTGACTATTTCACGTGATTGGAGATATACTCATGTCTTTAATTTTTTTTAATGAGTATCAAATTCCTCTTTATTTAAGTGTCCTTCTCCATCCCATTCGATTAGTCTTGCAATTCAGAAATTTTTTAGCTTAACTACCTCAGTTATATCTTCTATCAATCAGGACTCATTTTTTTCTTAGTACCTTGTGGCTAGTGACATTCTAATGGGATGTAGTTATTCTAGTTCTAACCTATCAAAATAATTGCAAGTGATGAAGGCCCTAGATCTTTTGGAATTATATATATTGAACATCTCATAATCACTTAAGAAAAATTTAAACAATACCTATTTGAGTAATTGCACTCACATAATTATTTTTAATTAAATACCTATTGAACATCTCAAAGGTTCGCAATTGGTAAAGATCCTAAATATTTTGAAATGATGCCTAATGAGCCTCTCATAATCAAAATATTGGAAAAAAAACTTAAATGTGTCTACAAAGTATAATATTGGAAAGATAAAATGTTTAAATGGAATGTATTAAATTAGAATTTAGTTGTAAGTTAAGAGTCCTTATTTGAGTAATTTTACACATGATTCTTTCTAATTTATATACATTTTGAACATTTCAAATGCCTAAATATCCAAATTTTCACTTTCTAAACTACCATTTTCCAGTTATAAAAAAAATCCACTTAGTTGGACGATTATAGTAAAATGTTGCGTATTTCCTATTTGATATAATAAATTATTAGGCACACGATATATCTCATATTTAGTGTAGATAACTATGCGAACATAGTATACTATTTTAAAGACTAAATTTTAGAAAACTCCCCTTAACTTTGGATGATAATTAGATAACTCACATAACTTTAAAAATATCAGGAAACCCCCTAAAATTTAGAGGTTATTAAAAACCCTTTAACTTTAAAGTTTTATTAGGAAACACCACTAAAAGCGATGGACTTAGGGGGAATTTCTGATAAAATGATTTTAGAGGAAAATTTACGATTATTATGATTTAGGAGGTATATCTTAAAAAATCCAAAATTAAAAAGAGGGGTAAAATTTATTAAACCTCAAATGAGTTTGGTGTTTGGAACTAAATTCTAAATATCTTCAAAACTCTCACTAAACCCCCAATAACATTTAGCAGAAAAGCCTCAAAATTAACATCATTAGTTCCTGTATAGTCAAATGACCAAAATACAGCCCAATAACCTAATAACTTCTACGTTTTTCACTTAATCCCCAATATTTTTTGGCAGAAAGCTCCAAATATTGTATGTTTTTAATTTTTGAATATTTTTAAAGATTGTTAAAGTTATTGGAATTTTTCAAGAGGTTGATTTTAATTTTTAGATTTTAAAGAAGTTTGTTTCTAATTTTAGATTTTTCAGGGGTTATTTATACTTTTTATATTTTTTGGGTTTTTTAATTTTCTCAAGGTTTCTTTTTAATTTCCTAATTTAAAGGGTTTGTTTATTATTTTTTAGATTTTTAGGGAGCTCTTTGCAATTTTAGATTTTTAGAGTGTTATTTATAATATTTTTACTTTTTATGGAGTTTTTTTTGGTAATTTTCATAATTTTCAAGTGTTTGTTTGAAATATTGATTTTTAGGGAGTTGGTTGGAATTTTTACATTTTACAGGGTTGTTTGTGCTTTTTAGTTGTAATTTATTAATTTTTGGGGGTCATTTAATATTTATAATTTTAGAATGTTAAGAGTCTTTTTCCATTTTTTAGATTAGAGGTTTTTTTGCAATTTTAGCAAACCCTCAAGATTAACAAATGGTTAAATTTCATTGAATCCTTAATAAGTTTAGTATTTTAAACTAAATCTCTTATATATACTCTTACTAAACCTCCAATAACTTTTGGCAGAAAACTCGCAAAATTAACATTATTAGTTTATGTGTAGTCAATTGACAAAAATACACCCTAGCAACCCAATAAGGTTTATATTTTTTTTACTTAACCCCCAATAAATTTTGGTAAAAATCCCCAAATAATAGATGTATACAATTTTCAGATTTTTTTCAAATGTTTGTTAATTATTGGAATTTTCAAGATGTTGATCATAATTTTTGGATTTTAAAGAGGGTTGTATCTAATTCTAGATATTTATGGAGGTTGTTTATTCTGTTTATATTTTTTGAGTTTTTTTATTTTCTTTGCATTACTTTGTAATTTTCTAATTTAAGTGTTTGTTTATGACTTTTTTGGATTTTTAGGGGTTGTGCTTTTAAAATTTTCAAGGTGTTATTTGTTATTTTCTACTTTCTATGGGGTTTCTTGTAATTTTATATTTTTCATGTGTTTGAATTTTTGAATTTTTAGGGGTCAATTGTAATTTTCAAATTTTAAAGGGGGTTGTTTGTATTTTTTGCATGTTTAAAAGAGGTTTTCAATTTATGCATTTTTGTGTCATTTATAGTTTTAGAATTTTGCAGAGTTTTTTTTTTGTAATTTTTGAATTTTCAAAGTTTTTTTGTAATTTAAGATTTTTAGGGGGCTATATGTTTTTTAAATTTTTTCATGGGTTTGTTTATAATATCCCGATTTGTCAATGGCTTTTTTATAATTGTTAGGAATTTAAAGGGAGTTTGTAGCTTTCATATTTTCTATGTGTTATTTATAATTTTAAAAATTTAGGTAGCTATTTCTAATTTTTTATATTTTTTAGGATTGTTTGTAAATTTATGGGATGATTTGTAAATTAGAATGATTTGAGGGGTATGTATTGTGCTTGAGGATTAATTTTAGTCAATGTAATTTTTTTAGGTTTGTTTGTAAATTAGAATGATTTGAGGGGTATGTATTGTGCTTGAGGATTAATTTTAGTCAATGTAATTTTTTTTAGGTTTGTTTGTAAATGAATAGGATCATTTGTAAATAAGAATCATTTGAGGGGTATATACTGTGCTTGAGGGTTAATTTTTCCATTATGAAGGTTAAGTGCGAAACATCAAAATGTTTTGGATATTTTTTGAAATTATCAAATTTATTGAGGATTTAGTGAGAGTTGCAAATATTTAGGAATTTAGTGCTCAATTCAAAGTTATTAGAGATTTACTAAAATTAAGTTTTTAAAATAATTAAGGATGGACACATGACATTTTTTAGATTTTGTAATTGTAGATAGCTATAAATTGTTTAGAATTAACAAAGATCTGATTGTTAAAATTTTCTACTTTTTATAGATAGGATTTTTTAATTATGGATATGAATAATTTTAATTTAATGAGAATTCTCAGGAAGATAGAGTTAGTTGGACGCATGTCATCTTTTAATATGATAGAGAATTAGTTTCACTGTTTGATTTCTTTCCATATCAATTTTTGGTTAAAGATTTTCCTTTTAAAAATTTTGATATATTATTAATTAGGATAAGATTAGAAGGTAATATCCAAAAGGGCTAAGAGTAATATTGACCATGAAAAGTTTTTCTCAAACTCGCACTTTTATAAGGAGTATGATATGATATGATATGATGTGATCTGCTTTGTATCCATATATAGTTTCTATTTTATACGATTTGCATCCGTATTAGATTTTCGCATATATAAACTGCGAGTTTTCCTTACTGAATCATATATGTATCTGTGTTTACTGATTATTAAAGCAGAAACTGGTATGGCAAGAGGCATACATGAACCAGTAAAATAGCTCTCAACCATGATGTTACACAGTTGATTAAATGCCTGCTCTCCACCCTATTTCCTGCAAATGAGGAACACAAGTACTCATCTTGATAGACCTGATCCCTAACAAAATACACCAATTGTTTCTTGCTGATTATATGCTGAACGTTTTTTTGCATGCGATATTCTAGACAAGATGGCAGTGAAAATTGTCATTTGTTGGTAAACAATATATTTTGGGTTTTATAGTGGAATGGATATGGTTCTTCATATATAAACATTTCATTCTGACATTGTTTTCTCTCTTTTGCAACAGAATTTTGGATTTGATGGGAAACTGGTGGTTAACTATGCTTGCTCGATGGCATGGGGCTGATATAACACAGACCTGCGATCCGTCCAAATCTGATACTCTTGCAGCTCAGGGTAGGAGATGAGACAAAACATTTGATTTGTTATATCTTAGTTCAAACTGTAAATTGTGATTACCATCAATTTCTAGTATCGAGTAGGCTCATGCTTCTACTGCTTGTATATAACAATGAAACTCTCTAGCCTTCTTGCTTACACCAACCATAATTTGAGATGTAATTGCTGTGTTCTTGATTGTGCCTGTATACTGCAGTCTCTTCCTTTATGCTTTTCTTACCCTAACCTATCTGTTAAGAGTATCTTATAAATTGGCCTAAAATTGAGTGCAACAGTTACGGGCCTTCTGAAATTTCAGGTAGAACTGGTGATTTCGTTACGCTTTTTAACAAAACCATGAGTTGAGTAATTCAGAGACATGAGCAGAAAATGAGCGATATGGAAGGTATTAACGTGCAAAGTTTAGAAACTTTTGGGTATACAATTGCTACCAAAAATAAATGGGAACTGTTGCTATTTTGTTGGTCCAATATCTGGCCCGTTACCTGGTGGCCTAGCTCCCCAGTGATTTGCCCTAGCCTCCTACCCGATGGTTCTTAGACCCTAAGTATTTCCGCCCCTACTCCATCCCTGTGTCCTTTGCTGTTGCGGCTTTGAGTCCCATCTCCCATCCCCTGTAGGTTGGCTCTTACCCTTCGATGCCCTAGCCCATCCTCTCGTGTCGGCTGCCCCCTTCACTATTTAAGGAGAATGTTTGGTAGTAGCTCAGGGGGAAAGAAGCAAGGAAGAGAGAAGTGAACTACAGTGAGCTTTGTGCCCTAGCTTTGAGCAATCCTCTCTTCCCGTCCATCGCTTGGTGCAATCCCCCCTTTTTCCTCTTTGTGAGTGATTGAGAAGTGTACCAGTGGTGAGTTCATCTTTGTGTTCTTGGTGGTGCACAGTTAAAGATCGGACTGTTTGATCAGGCTTCTGAGCCAAACATCAACAACGACGATCCATAACAGTGGTATCAGAGCTCGGTGAGTCGTCGCCCTTCCAAAACAACTGATCGCCGCCGCAGGAGTTGTCATCGCCACAGATCTGCGACTCCAGAATGCCGGACCACCGTAGGACCCCGTCGGACCGCCGAAGGACCGCTGTCGGACCATCGCGTGGGCGTGGGTAAGGTCGAAACCCTCTCCTAGGGTTTCGCTCAGGTGAATTGACTGAATTTTTCTTCTTCTGAAATCTCTTTGTCGAAGTTACCTGATGAAGTTAAAAAAAATTCTGCTATTGTTTGTGCTTGTGCGAAAGAACAAAGGGTCTGAACCCGAGCTTTGTGCTCATCGTTATTCCCATTTTGTTTTTACTAGTTGCTTTGCAAATTTGAAAATTTTTTCAGCTATATTTGTATTTTATTTCTTTCTTGAAAATTTGTGTGCTTTTCCTGTGTGAAAAAATGCCTGCTACTAATCAATATGGTATGATTCCGTTCAACAGAAAATCTGATTTTAGCATTTGGAAACAAGAAATAAAATGCATCTTAATTCAACAGAAGTCTTTTAGGGCTGTTGGTCAGACTTATTTGACTTCTGACACTGAAGAAAAAAACAGAAGTCTTTTAGGGCTGTTGGTCAGACTTATTTGACTTCTGACACTGAAGAAAAAAGGGCTGAAATGAACGAAAATGGGTCAGACTTATTTGACTTCTGACACTGAAGAAAAAAGGGCTGAAATGAACGAAAATGCTTGTTCCACAATTTATTTGAACTTATCTGATTCTGTGCTTAGAAAAGTTAGAATTATGGAATCTGCTAAAACCCTTTAGGATAAACTTGAAAAACTCTATACTGAAACCTTTTTGCCTAGTAAAATATTTTTGCTTGAAATTTTTTTAAATTTAGATTGGATATGTCTAAGGATATTCAGGAGAACCTAGATGTTTTCACAAAACTTATTTCATATATTAAGTTAACTAGTGATAAACATATAGACGACTATACTCCTATTGGCCTTCTAAATGCTATTCCTGACTCATATAGTGATGTGAAATCTGCTATTAAATATGGTAGAGATGAGGTTACCCTTGACATAGTGGTCAATGTTCTTAAGAGTAAGGAATTAGATTTAAAACATTCTGGGAGAAATAAAAATTCTGGTGAGGTTATGCATATGAGGGGTAGACCTCAAAATAGGTCTAATAACGAAAAGAATGCTAGTAATGGGGAATCAAGTAGGAGAAAATTCAAAAATGGAAGGGGTGGATCTAAGTCTAGGTTTAAAGTTAAAAAATGCTATAATTGTCATGAAACTGTCACTTTATTAAAGATTGTCCTAAGCCTAAGAAAAATCAGCAAAATAAGCATAATGCTAATATGGCTGTCTGTGAGGGCAAAATGGGTGAAATTTTTATGATTAATAATCTTTGTGATCATGCATATTTAAACTCTGTGTTATCTGATTCTTTGTGTAAATCAGATTGGTTAGTAGACTCTGGTTGTACTTTTCATATGACTCCTTTTAAAAACTTGTTTTCAAACTACAAGAAAATAGAGAATGGCTTTGTGTCAATGGCAAATGAAAAGAAATGCAATGTTTTAGGAACTGGTGATGTATGCCTTAGGTTTTCCTCTGGTTCTGTGTTTATTTTGAAGGATGTTAGGCATGTTCCTGATTTACGTTATAACTTGATTTCTTGTGCATCTCTAGAAAATGATGGTTTAGAGGGAAAATGGGGTAAATGGGTTATGAAAATTATGAAAGGGTCTCTTATTGTTTTTACTGCTGAAAAACAAAATAATTTGTATGATTGTCATGCTGAACTTGTGCTTGATTCTGTTAACTCTGTGATAGGTGATAAATCTGTCTTATGGCATAATAGATTAGGTCACATGAGTAACAAAGGATTAGAAATTTTGCATAAAGGAGGTCACTTTGGTAGTGATAAAATATCCCACATCCCTTTCTGTGAATCTTGTGTGTTAGGAAAACAACATAGGGTTAGTTTTCCTACTTCTTCCTTTCCTAATCAGTCTAAGTGCATTAATGTACTTGAATATCTGCATGCTGATGTGTGGGGTCCCTCTAGTGTGCCTACGCATGGAGGGAACCAATATTTTCTTTCCATAATTGATGATTATTCTAGGAAAGTTTGAGTTTTACTCATGAAACAAAAATCTGAAGTTTTTGATAAATTTAAAAACTAGAAAATAATGATTGAAAACCAAACGGGAAAGAAAATTAAAACTCTTAGGACAGACAATGGTCTTGAGTTTTGTAACAAACAATTGAATGATTTGTGTACTACTTGGGGTATTAAAAGGCATAAATATGTTCTCTACACACCCCAGCAGAATAAGGTTGCTGAAAGGATGAATATAACTCTCTTAGAGAGGGTGAGGGCTATATTGACCACATCTGAGCTCTCTAAGAAGTTCTGGGGAGAAGCTGTTTGTACTGCGGCCTATTTAATTAACAGGTCCCTTTCTGTTCCCTTAGGAGGGAAATGCCCTGAATTTGTGTTCACAAGCAAAACTCTTGATTTAAATAATTTGAGAATTTTCAGGAGTGCTGGCTATGTGCATCAAAAGATTGATAAGTTAGAACCTAGATCTAAAAAATATGTTTTCTTAGGATACCCTGAAGAGGTAAAAGGTTATAGGCTTTGGAATAAGAGTGAACCGGGGTTTAAGGTAGTGATAAGCAGAGATGTTGTTTTTAATGAAAATGAATTTCCTTGTTTACCTTTACGTGTTCCTATTCTTGAAAATGATGCTCCAAATAAGGTGGAGCAAATGCCTATTATTAATCAACCCAAATCACCACTTGAAGAAAAATTGAATGATATAATTATTGAAAATCAAGATGAGATTATTCCTAATGAGGTGGAGCATGATGTGCAGGAAATGGATAACATGCATGATTTGAATGATTATCAACTCACTAGGGATAGAAATAAAAGAACCATTAGGAAACCTGAAAGATATAGAGATTGTAATTTGATTGATTGTAATATGTCTAAGTTTGTCTTTAATGTGTCTGAATTCCTTGAGTGTAATGAACCTAAGACTTATAGAGAAGCATTAAAATCAAAATATTCTGAAGAATGGATTAGTGCTATGAAGAGGGAGATAGAATCCCTAAGAGTTAACCAAACATGGAAACTTGTTCCTAGACCTGCTAGTTGTTCTGTAGTGGACTGTAAGTGTCTGTTTAAGGTGAAACAAGAATCTAAAAGTATTAGGTTTAAGGCTAGGTTAGTAGCTAAGGGATTTACTCAAAAGGAGGGAATTGATTATGCTAAAATTTTTGCTCCTATTGTCAAATTCACTGCTGTTAGAATTATGCTTGCTTTAGTTGCATATTTTAATTGGGAATTAAAACAAATGGATGTAACTACTGCTTTCTTGCATGGTGATCTTGATAAAAATATTTATATGCACCAACCTGAGGGTTTTGTAGACCCTAAATTGCCTGATCGTGTGTGTTTGTTAAAAAATGTTTTGTATGGTTTAAAACAATCACCTAGGCAATGGAATATTAGATTTGATAAACGCATGCAATCTTTAAAGTTTAAAAGGAGTTCTGCTGATCATTGCATGTATTATAAGAATATAGACTCTGTGTCTGTATTTCTTTTAATTTATGTGGATGACATGTTGATTGTTAGTCCTTGTTTGAAGTCCATTGAGTATGTTCAAAAATGTCTTTGTGAAAATTTTAACATGAAAGACTTAGGCGATGCTAAAAGAATCCTAGGCATGAATATTCTTAGGGACAAAAACAAATCTACTCTAGTTTTAAACCAAAGTTCATATGTTGAAATTTTTTTGAGTAAATTCGCTATGTCTGATGCCAAATCTGTGAATGTGCCTCTTGCTTCCCATTTTGTGCTAAGTAAGGATTGTTGGCCTTTTTGTTTTGATAATGTTTAACAAATAATTTACTTCTAATGTTGTTTGTCTAGTGTTTGTGTTTTTGTATTTATTCTAGGAAAACAATGAGTTGGAGGATGGATGGAATCGAGCATTCACGATCATATCAAATGGAGGTTGGTAGAATTGTGGAGTGAAGCCTTGCAATTCAAGTTGAAGATCCAAGTTCAAGCTTCTTCCACATAGTGTACCAAGTTGAACTACAATGAAGATCAAGATCAAGCTTGGGTAACATTAGTTTAGGTTTATATTATGTGTGTTAGTACTTTAAGCTCAATCATATGCACACATACACGTTTTGGTTTTGTATATATATAGTTATATATATACATATATGTTTTGGTTTGATAGTTTTTAAGTTTTAATATGAAACAATTTAATATAATTAGAAAACATATTTTTGTTTCATACTTATATGCATATATATGATTTCATCAATATCAATTTTATTTAGTTCAATGAAATCATGTTTTAGTGCATTATATGTGTTTTTTTATAAAATACTACATTCATTGTTTATAGACTTCATAACAACACTTTACACTTTTCTTCAAGTCTATAAAATTATTTTGTAAAGTTTTAAAACATGGTTTAGCCAAAATGTCAAAATTCATATGTTTACATTTTCATATTTTGGACTATTTTGCAAAATAATGATATTTCTCATTTGGAAAGTCCTTTTAGAAAACCAGTTTTTGTAGCATGTGTATTATCATGTTTACAATTATTTCCCAAAGTCGGTCGACCGTCAGTCTGTAAGTTCTCACGGTCGACCGCCGCGGTCGACCGTAGCCTGTTTTGATTGTTTTCTCAATTTCAATGACCTTCGCGGTCGACCACGATTTTCCCACGGTCGACCGTCGATCGCCCAACGGTCATATTTCGTACAGAATCAGATTTCTGATTCGTTGGGGTTTGGTCTTTTGTTTAGGGTTTTTGGCTGAGGTTTTGGGAGACTATAAATACCTCATTGATCTCAGTTCTCAAAGGAATTCAAGAAGTTTTTAAACAAGAGTTTAACAAGGGTTTAAGTTTGTTTAAAGTGTGTTTATAAGCTTTTAAGCATTTGAGTGTTTCGGTTTTGTGAATCAATTCCACAAGAGCTTGAGGAGATCATCTATTGAAGTTTGAGCTTCTAACTATTCTCCCTCTACCTCTTGATCTATTGAGAAGATTTCTAAACTCTTATCTAGCTTTACATTTGCATAGTTATTTGATTATCTTTCTTTAAAGCTAGTTTTTATATTGAGTTTAGATTTGATTTTATTTACTCTCATTGTTACACACACCCACATGAGCTTATCGTATTTTTATACATAGTATATTTGGGTTGGTGAGAGTTGTAACAATTGAGTGTGAGCTTTCATTGTGTTTTCATCCATAGTAGAGAACAAACATTTATTGTATTGAGCCTAATTGTGAGGATACACTTTGTAATACACTTGTACACCGAGAGAAGTGTGTGACGAGAGTCGGGGATCGTCCCAAGAGGAGTGGCGTCGGTTGACGAACCTAGGGAGAGGTTGTATCCGAGCACTTGAGGGAGACACGTCTAGTTCAACATTTGAGAGGGTGTAGAGTGGGATTACAAGAGTGTGTTAGTTGTAGAGTTTTCGGTAAACTAGAAAACCGTATTGTGAGGTGTAAACGTTGTTCGGGTAAACGTAGAAAATCCGATTGTGATAGTGGAGATCTCCTCGAGATGAGGAGCGGAGACGTAGGTCGTGGGGACCGAACTCCGTAATCATATCGTTTGTTTGTGATTGCATTGGCGCACTTATTTTTATGTTCATATCTTATATCGTCTTCGTTTGTTGCTTGTTGATTATATTGTCCACTATCTAGTTTAGATTGTTTACCCTTGTGTTAATTATATATCATTGCATATATCTCATAGTATATCTCATTGCTAGGATATTTACCTTTGTTCATATTGCTTATTCTTGCTTGTAACATATTATATATCTCTCTTGCAAGAATAATTTGTTAATTAGTTTTAATTGGCATAAAATCGGATTAGATTAGCATAAGATCCTAATCACCCCCCCTCCCCTCGTCCTCTCGGGTCTAACAAGGATCAGTCCCCCAAGACTGAAACTGAAATAAATGATATGAAGAAGTTGCCATATTCGAATGCTATAGGATCGGTCATGTATCTCATGGTTAGTACTAGGTCTGACATTGCATATGTGGTTAGTTCCTTGAGTAGATATATGTCAAATCCTAGTATGCCTCATTGGAATGCCTTGAAGTGGCTTTTAAGATATTTAAAATCCTCTGTGGATGTAGGTTAACCTTCTCTAAGTGTTCTGAAGGTGTCAAGCTAGTTGGCTATATAGATTCTAATTATGCAAATGATAGAGATAATAGAAAATCTACTACTTCCTATGTGTTTACTTTGTGTGGCTCTTGCATAAGTTGGAAATCTTAACTACAACCCATTGTTGCTTTATCTACTACTGAATCTGAGTATGTTGCTACCTCTGAAGCTTTTAAAGAAGCTATTTGGCTTAGGGGCCTTATATCTGAAATTGGTTTTCTTGATAAAAATGTGGTTGTATTTTTTGATATTCAATCTGCTATTCAACTTTACAAAAATCCTGTTTTCATGATAGAACTAAACATATTGATGTTAGATTTCATTACATTCGAGATATAGTTGAAAAGGGTATTGTCAAGTTAGAGAAAATTCCCTCAGAATTTAATCCTGCTGACATGGGTACTAAGTCTTTGCCTGCTGAAAAATTTATTTCGTGTCAAAGAATCTTAAACTTTGATTTTGGGTAATTTTTTTCCCCTTTGCCTTGTGTGTTGCCTTTGTGGCCTATTAACTTGCTTTGTGCTTGTTAGTAGCTTTGTGACTTTTCCTTTGAACTCGATGACCGTTTGGTAGAGTTCGGTCCTTTGTGGACTTGGTATGCTTGGTGATCTTACCCCGATCTTTGTGATCTGAGTTTACTTTGTGTATTCTCTTCCATTGCTTGTATCTTCTTTGTGATCATACAAGTAATAATTTGGCGATGATGAGTCCTGCAGTTCCGTGTCTTTTCTCTGTGCACTACCTTGGGCCAAAGGTGGAGATTGTTGCTATTTGTTGGCCCAAAGCTTCTGGCCCGTTACCAAAAGGCATTGTTAGTAGCTTTGTGACTTTTCCTTTGAACTCGATGACCGTTTGGTAGAGTTCGGTCCTTTGTGGACTTGGTATGCTTGGTGATCTTACCCCGATCTTTGTGATCTGGGTTTATTTTGTGTATTCTCTTCCATTGCTTGTATCTTCTTTGTGATCATATAAGTAATGGTTTGGCGATGATGAGTCCTGCAGTTCCGTGTTTTTCCTCTGTGCACTACCTTGGGCCAAAGGTGGAGATCGTTGCTATTTTGTTGGCCCAATATCTGGCCCGTTACCTGGTGACCTAGCTCCCCAGTGATTTGCCCTAGCCTCATACCCGATGGTTCTCAGACCCTAGGTATTTCCGCCCCTACTCCATTCTTGTGTCCTTTGCTGTTGCCGCTTTGAGTCCCATCTCTCATCCCCTGTAGGTCGGCTCTTACCCTTCGATACCCTAGCACATCCTCCCATGTCGGTTGCCCCCTTCTCTATTTAAGGAGAATGGTTGATAGTAGCTCAGGGGGGAAGAAGCAAGGAAGAGAGAAGTGAACTACAGTGAGCTTTGTGCCCTAGCTTTGAGCGATCCTCTCTTCCCGTCCATCGCTTGGTGCAATCCCCCCTTTTTCCTCTTTGTGAGTGATTGAGAACTGTACCAGTGGCGAGTTCCCCTTTGTGTTCTTGGTGGTGCACAGTTGGAGATCAGACTGTTTGATCAGGCTTCTAAGCCAAACATCAACGACGACGATCCATAACAGGAACATATATATGTAAGTACAAATTCGGGGAAACAATAGGGTATTAAGTGATAATCATCCTATGATTCTCTGAAACATGTTATTATAATAATCTTCTTGTTACTCTCTTTGCGGTGAAAACTCTGATTATGAAAATCCCCAAAAGTTTTATATCTCTGTGGTTAAATAAAATGGGACTGGGCCTTACTTTTAGTATAAGGCCCACATAATCCATCCATCAACACTGGGCCGGACTGAAAAAAGGATGCAACCCACTAAAACCCTTTGCCCTTGTATCTTCTCGGGGTCCAGGGATTTGGCGATTAGGGTTTGAAGACATTTTTTGCGACCCCTAGCTCTCAGTTTCTCTCTCTATCTAAGACTCTAATCTCTTCGTCGCCATGAGCAGATCTGGTCAGCCTCCGGATCTCAAGAAGTAAGCATCTCCCTCTCTACCTAGATCTTGATCGTTGTGCTTTCTTGATCGGCTCGAAAAACTAACTTTTTTTGGGTTGTGATTGCAGGTATATGGACAAGAAGCTCCAAAGTAAGTTTCTTTTTGCTAATCTGCTCATTTTTTTGAAAGAAATGGTTGAAATTGCACTTGGGTCTTTATATTGCAATAAACTGCTGGAAAACTTTGTGATACTGAATTTTGAAATATTAAATGTACTTTAATTACTCGTGTTTTTCACCTAATATTTATTATTAAGGATCATAAATGCTTTATCGACCTGTGCTTTGGGATAGAAATAGGTAATTTAATAGAATAATGACATTATTTTATGTCGTCAAGATTTAAATTATCGTTTTTGTGGACTGTGGACCTGCTTCTACTCTATTGCTTCAATGATTATGTGGGTCTTAATTCTTGTTTATCTTCTTCCCATTTTCATCCTTATCCTTTTTCCTTAATTAATCGATACGAGGGAGGCAGAGAACTTAGAGAAGAAGCTAAAAATGTGAATTAAAATTCTTTTAGTATTGTACTCTTGTAGAAGTTGTAGTTTTGATAGTTGTTTGGCGTAATTTTGTCATATTTTTGTAATGTGTAGCTATAAATCAGTTACACGCTTGTTAGACGAAAGGTAAGCTTGCGTTGGTTGACAAACCTATGACTTGTTTGTATTTGATTGTACCCACATTTTCGTTCAAGTGTACCCAAGAAAATTTTATGCTTTCTCCACTGAAGACTTGCACTTCGGTTCCAGTCTCTAGCTAGTTATTAATTTACCTTACTCATATCCAAGCGTCTTATGTGGGAAATCAACAGAAGCACTTCCATTGGAGTCCTTTATGTAGTCAAGTTCGATGATAATTCTTGATCTTTCCATTTCTTCGTGGAGGATGAGAATTTGAACTTGTAAATCAGCGAAGTAATTTTATATGTCAAATTTAGAAAGTATATGTGGGTGTTCTGTTTTCAATACTCGCTATAAACATGAATGGTTGTATTCCAAATTCTAATCTCTGTCACATACTATACTTGAGAAATTAATGCCATTGACAATCTATGTTCTTTTATTTTCTAATTTTCTACTTCATCCGGAACCTTACTCCTTTAGAATATGGACTGTTGCTTCTTTGTGGTGTGAGCTTAATCTCGCACCACGTAAAATTTTCTAGTTGTGCAATATTTCTCATTTCATATTACGAACTTCTTACTTATTTTCTATATGTGGGTCGTTTGTTACAACTTGATGCGTAACAATGGATTAGAGGATCCAGTATTAGCTCAACTTTGTACTTCCTTCTGGAGGCCATAGCTGTAAGTTGAGAATCTCTTTGTGCGTTTTGTTGCATAACTGGCGGCAAAATTTCACTCGCGAGCGAAGAAAAAAAAACCGCACCTGAAAATTTGAAAGAAAGGCCGAATCGAGCGCTATTTGAGCCCAATAACTCAAGCCCACTTGAAATCAAAGCCGAACGAAGCCGAACGAAGCGATTTCAGCGCCCGATTTCAGCGATTCTGAAGCGATTCTGCGTCGACGACGAAATCAAAGCCGAACGAAGCAATTTCAGAGCCCGATTTCAGCGCCTCGACGAAAGCCAACGACGAAATCAAAGCCTTGACGAAGCAATTTCAGCGCCTCGACAACGAATCCTCTCCTCGACGACGAGATCAGCGCCTACAAGGTTTGATTTTATGGATTTTAGGGTTTTGTTTTTGTTTTTTTTCCTTTTCTCCTCGACGACGAGATCGACGGAGGACTGAAGCTTGGACGAGCTCCGACAGAGGATTGAGGCTTGGACGAGCTTCGAGGGTCTTGTGAGGGGCCATCGATGGAGGACTGGCTTTGGGTTCGCGAGGAGAAATGGGAAGAGGCGACGAAGATGAAAACCCTAGGGGGAAGTTACGGTTTTATATGGGGGAGGGGTTTGGGTTTGGATTCGGGTTTGGGTTTTTTTCTTCACCTGTTTTTTATATGGAGTGGGGTTTGGGTTTGGGTTTTATATAGGGGGAGGGGTTTGGGTTTGGGTTTTATGTGGGGAGGGGTTTGGGTTTGGGTTTATATAAGTAATAATATTAGTTCTAAATTTTTAAATAAAATAAAAATAGCTTTCTATTTCTTAGAATTGTTAAATAAAATAAAAATAGATTGTCATATTTTAGGGTATATTTGCAAATGTAATAGGTATTTAATTCAACACTGATCTAAAGTGAATTATTTTATATATATACAGCCGTGTCCCCGTACCCTACTTTTTACAAATTTGTCGTGTCCCGTACCCGTACCCGTACCGGTACCCGTACCCGTACCTAGGTAACATAGTAATATATATATACACACACACACGCACGTTCTTGTTTTATTGTTTTGTTATGAGAGCACAAGGCTTTGATGGTTGTCTTATATCATGGCACATTAAAAGTTTCCTTAGTCAAAGCAATCTTGTCAGCTATCGCAGACTCCCAGTCCCTCTTATATCCATGCGCTAGTCCTTATCAATAACACTATATCATAATAGAGAAATTTTGTCAGCATTTTTTTGATCGTAGAGTAGTTGCTTAGGAGAAACTAAGGACTGATTCATATTGGATTAAGTTTGATTATGCTATGGATATGTTCCACATATGTCTCCGTTCTAGAGTCTTAACATCTATCTGTGGTGATGAAGATCGTTCATTCTTGAAGCATAGTGTTCAGATACGGAATTTGTGATTCTCTCTGGAAACTTCTAATTGGGTTGCTTTGTTGCCACACCACTGTTTGAAAGCTTTCTGTGCAGAATCCATGTGAAAGTCCTTGCGTTCCTCAAGCTCTTCAAGTTATTATTTTGTCGACATTCCATTAACATATTAAATAAATAAACCCCTTTCATTGGAACATTTGGCACCTTCATAACCCGCATACGCCTTATTTGTCTCCATTTTGTTGGTGCAATACTCAAGATATTTACTGTCAATACTTCAGTATATACTTAACGCTCATGTAACTGAAACTTGTGTCTCGTGTCATGTTTTTCTTTTATTTAATGATTTATATATGATTCTTCTAAGTTTGTGAAGCATGATGTTATTTGTGTGCATAATGTGCATCCAATTGCTAGCATATCTTCTGTTTTCAGTATATTTAGATTTGATACATGATGCTAAAAGGAAATATTTTCTATGCAGTTAAGCTGAATGCTAACCGAGTTGTAGTTGGCACCCTCCGTGGATTTGACCAATTCATGAACCTCGTGATCGACAACACAGTGGAGGTCAATGGCAACGAGAAGAATGATATTGGGATGGTGGTATGTGTGCTAAACCCCTGATCTCAGTGATTTATTGTTCTATGTATACAAAAATTGTTATCCTAATTTAAATAACACTATCGATGCAGGTTATCAGAGGAAATAGTGTTGCGATGATTGAAGCTCTCGAACCTGTGAAAACGCAATAGATTTTCTTAGAAATTGTTGCTCGAGTTAAATGCTCTTTGAAACAAGCTTGTTATGTAGTGCTGTAGTACTATTTCTCCGAACCTTTGCAGCACCTTTTTTATGTAATGATGAAGTATATGAAACACAATGTATCAAGGTTTTGTTAGAGGCTGTAGGCTATGGGCCTTGCTGAGTTCTTCTTTAATGTTGTTACATGTATTTCATTAGAAGAATCCTTTATGGATGCTTAACGCAGATGAAGTATAATCTTATCCACGGATAACATTTGAGATTTGGGTACTATATTTTGTGGTTACCTGTTGATGCATCCTCTTTGTGATTGCATGCTTACTTATGATAGAGTCCTATTTTATTAGCTCTGAGTCTGAAGGATTGACGTTCTCCGTTATAAAGTTTTGAACTCTGTATTGGAATCCTGTGAGAATGTCCGTCAGGAAGTCAATTTGCTAATAAATGGAACACGTAGGCTAATTACGATGAGTATATCATCCAAATATTTATTTTAGAATAGAGGACCAATATGTCCTTTGACGTATGATTTCTCGTAGATTCTTGGTGACTAATTACGATGAGTATATCATCCAAATATTTATTTTAGAATAGTGACATCCATTGAGATCCTACAATTGGTAGGGTTTTCCAAAGATTTTTTTTTTTTCCTATAGGCGGTGTTTGGATTAGTTATTTTTTGAGGAAAAATTCTTTAAGGACCCAAAATATAGGACCAATAAAGGGGACAAGTGAGGTGTCCCTCTCCTATTGGATAATGAATTGATCATCATTAATGATGACCAACTCATTATCCAATAGGATGGGGACACCTCACTTGTCCCCTTTATTGGTCCCAAAATATAGTAACAACATTTATTTTAGAATAGTAACACATCCTCTCCATTTAGAGTAGAATAGTAAAGTGTTTGATTGAAAAAAACTAGGAGGCACTAGACCGGTTTATTTAATCCTTTGAAATGAAATAGTATGGAGATGTGGGACTAAACAAAGGATTTGGATCCTCTCCACTACAAAAAAGTAGTGGAGAGACCACTACTTTTAATCTCAAGCGTTGATTATTTAGTAGGCGGTTATGATACAATCTAAATCTAACACTTATCATACCCCTGTGTATTGCACTCATTCCTAATTTGCACTAAAAAAAATCATAACCATCAACTAGATAATCAATGGCTGTGATTATGTAGTGGTCCCTCCACTATTTTTTTTGTAGTGGAGAGGATCCGAATCCCTAAACAAAGGAGGAAAATGAGGTGTTATTATAGCCAGTTGACTATTTTCAACTTGGGATTAGAACCGAAAAGATCCCTTTGGCCCCTAGCTTTCATAAGTTCACCCATTTTGTGGAAAATGAATGGTATTTGGATCTGACAATGGTAAAATCGTAATTAAAAGATTTCAAATGAATCCTAATCTTGAGTTTGGTTCAAAATATTTTTACAGATTTCAAAATTTGTAAAGTAGTCAAAACAGTGGTTTTTTATGGATTCTGAAATCCTCTCCGTTTGAGCGGATTTGGGTAAAAAATCTGACATCTCCTTTACCTCTTTCTTATCCTGATTCCGCCGCTTCGAAAACCCTAGATCTGTGGCGTCCCGCTGTTCTTCTCCCGCCTCATCTCACTCTTCTTCGCGCCTCTTCTCCCGCGGCTCTTCGATTTCTTTTTCGAAGTCGAGGCTGGCAATTGTGACGACGGTTTCTCGCGGCGGAATCGGCTTCTCCCTCTAATCTTATCCCGTCTCTTCTCAATCGTCGACGCTCCTCTGCTCGGACCGTTCTTCGATTAGTTTTCCAACTTTCGTTCTGCAGTGGTGTTGGTGGGTTCATTGACTTTGGTTGTAGGTGATCCCTTCTCGAACTTGTAGGTTTCGGTGGGTTTGTTGGCTTCGTGGTGTCTGTCGGCTTCGGTGGGTTTGTTGCATGGATTTAAGTAATTTCCCCTGGGCAGCTGAAGATATAAAATTTCCCCCCTTTTTTTTAAGATTCATTTCTTCGTGCTTGATGTGATGAAAGGAACCTGGGTAGTAGAATGTGTTGTTTTTGATAATTCATTACGTGTATAATCTCTTAACAACAGGGTTTTGTTATTAGTTGATTACTGAAGTTTAGTTCCCTGGAATAATTGAGGAGTATGACCTTCAAATGAAACCCTTAGATTGAATCCTTAATCATATTTGTTTGATCAGCGTGTGAACTTAAATTCGACATTAGTTAAAATAAATTTATGTATAATTAGATATCTTGTTTCAAGAAATTAATATTTGTATTAAATATTTAATTAATTTTAAACTTCAATAAGTAGACATATTAAGTTGTAAATGTATGCTAATTTTACAACGGATGTAGATGGATATGGTAGATGAAGAAGAATTGAAGAGGATGTGTGCTAATACAGCTGTTTCCATTGTGGTAATGTTAGTAACTTGTATTTTGAGAATGTGTGCTAAGCGCAAGACAATTTCAACTTGTACGAAGGAAGAAAAGATTAAGAAAATATATTGCAGAGAAACTCACTTCAGACGTGTATTGGAAGGCTATAGTGATAGTTGTCGGTCTTATATTAGAATGAGACCGAGGGTCTTTTTTAAACTTGCTGAAGTAATGAAAGCAAACGGTTTATTAAAGGATACAAGACACGTTCAAGTTGAAGAATGAGACCGATGGCCTTTTTTTGCCAGCAGGTTTTTGAGCTTGTGCAGCTCCTTCACTTGGGTTTGTTGATGTCGGTTGTTGAGCTTGAGATTGTTCTTCGCTTGTTTAGGGTTTTGACTGTCAGGTAGAGCTTGTTTAGCTCTTTGGCTTTGGGTTTTTTGTGCGTTTTTCTGCTATCGGTTTTGATGCTAACATTAGGGTTATGTTGCTATTGGTTGATGTGTGGCTGGAGCATGATGTGCTCCATAGTTGATATTTGGCAATGGTGATGATTAGCGTTTACGGAGAATGCAATCTAACTTACAGTGTTTATTATATTCAGATGAGGCAAAAATGTGATGAGATTGTAGCTTACATTGAATTGACAATGGCTAAGCGAGGCAATCCATCATTAGAATGCAATCTGTAATAAACCTGTAAGTTTTAGGTGGGGCATTCAATTTTGACAAGTTGATGTATTCGTGAGCCATATAATATCAACTAGAATTTACTCAATTCCAATAACAGTTTTCATTACAGCATCAATAGTTTTTGCAAGTACAAGTACATGACATGCGGTTTATAATAATTAAAATAATACAAAAATTGCTAATAAAATTGCTGAAATTTTCTAAGCTAATAGTTGATTTTCGACAAGTCTCAATTCTTTCTTCATCCTCTTTGGTTGCAAAAAATATTTATCTCCGTACTTATTTTCTTTGACATATTGGCTTCATTGGTTGCTTATTTCTCCTCTTTCATCAGCCCATTCGAATAAATTGTATTCTTTATTTGGGAATTTTGCACACCCCAATAACATCTTTCCTTATTTTTACCATTCTTGCATACTTTCATAGGTGTTCGGAGATTACAATTGCAATAAACTTTATAATTTTGGGAGCATTCTTCTGATATCATATTGAGTCGGGGAGGCAAATTACAAACAATGAGAATTTATAAATCGGTAAGAATGGAGAATGCATTGGAAAAATTGAAGCCTCAAGCTAAATTTATAGCCTCCAAGACCTTGGAACTAGTCGTTGCTACGGCGTTTCGGATTTGAATATTGAGCTAGCGGTTGGAACTAACCGTTGCTACAGTGTTTTTATTTTGAATATTGAACTAGCCGTTGCTACAGTGTTGATCCCAAAAAGAATTCATTCTAAATCAAACTAGATATTAAGAATTGGAGGGTTTCTATAAAAGTTGGATTCTATTTTCCCATGTAATGAAACAAATATAGAATGCAAAAAAAAGGATTCCATAAAACTACAAACTTGTCTCAAAATTTTTTATGGAATAGGTAGGAATCCATAAAAAAACCGGATTCCTAATCCTATTCTCGCCCACTAGTGAAACAAACAGCCCCTAAGGTCATCTCCAAGGAGCTGCAATTTAGCGCAAAAACCTATTTTAGCGTAAAAAAACTCCCTCAAACTGATCGCTAAATCCCGCGTTAAATTGATGAGGTGCTACAGTGTTGCGGTAGGAATGGCGCAACACTGTAGCTTTAGAGTTTTTTTGTTTTTCCGATTTTACTCTTAAACTATGTGGTAACAAATTAAAATACCTATTGTATCCTATTATATCATTCATTAACCTTAGTTTATTCCATTTATTTTAACTTTTATAATGAAATTATAGTATAAAATAATTATTAAAATAAAATTCAAAAAGGAAAAATAAATAATTTAATTCAAACACTTAAAATTTCGTAATACAAAATAAAAATATAAATCAAATTTACATTTAGATAAAAAAAATACAACATTAAATTAGGACATAAAAAAAACTAACACATTATTATAATTAGTTATATGTAATGTATTATATAATTATATAATTATATAACTTGTTAAATATTTTAAATAGATAAAAATATTAAAAGATAAGAATAATAAATGGAATATTCTTTTTGGTATAAAATTTGATGTAATAGGTTGGAGATGGAATAGTGAAGAAATACAGGTCACAGCAAAGAAGTCAGCCAGGCAGACTGATGGTCGACCGTCGCGGTCGACCGTGAACGTGCACGAAGGCTAGTAGGAGTCGGAGCTGGTGGGGGGGGTTTGTTTTAGGGCTTGATCTGAGAGATTTGTAACTCTACTTGTATTCTCTGATTTCTAATAGTAAGAACTCCCCCCTCCTTGCCCAGTGGACGTAGGCAACTTACCGAACCACGTAAATCTCTTGTGTTATTTGGTGATTGTGCTAGTTTATTTGGTTGTGATCTCTCTTATTTGAATTGTGTGATTCGACCGCTTCCGCGCCGTGCACAACAATTGGTATCAGAGCTTCGGGTTTCGACTTGAGGCTTGTTTGAAGGATTCACTGAAGGATTCCTATTTGAAGAGTTAGATCGACAACATGGGTGAAGCAAGCACATCGGGATCGTCTCTTACGAAGACGATACATAATTTTAGCATCAAAAACATGAAGATTGATGTTCCGAAGTTCGACGGCAAGATTAATTTTGGATTGTGGAGGTGTCAGGTGATGGACGCCTTGGACGCTCAGAATTTGGAGGAGACTCTTGAGTTACAAGAGAAACCTGTCGAGATGGAAGCTAAGGTTTGGAAGAAGATGAATAGTAGGGCGTGTGGAGTTATTCGGTCATGCTTGACGCCGGA